AATTTTTTTTGTTTCTCTTAAAAATTAAGTTTAAAAATAAACTGAGAAGTAATACAAATGCGATAATTATTACACCGAGACACTTCGTTTGGGATTCCACCTATAAATTCAACTCACTACTCAACATGTTTCCATATCCTTCTCCTGCATCCGCAGCTGAAACCTCTTAGGGTTACTTTTTCTCTCCTCAATTTTTAACTTCTCTCTGCTCTTTCTTCTACTCTCACTACACTCACCGCACACACACCTCTTAGGAGTGCTTTCTGAGAATGGCTGTCACTCTCTTGAGGATGAGAGTCCCAAGAGAAGCACTGACATTGTTGGAGCATGTATCCTTGTAAGAAATCTAGTATTCAATGCTTGTTTTATATTATAATCCCTTTTGAGGGTTTTCTACCTTTGTGTTAGATGAACTAATTGCATGCCTTCCTGCATGTTGTATTGATGCAGTTTGTGAATTCTCGCTATAGTAATCTTCCAATTCATGCATGCATGATTTATCGGTGGAGTTGGTGTGCGATCATTAATATACTGTTTCCTTAATAAGATTTGCTGGCTCTATCAGGTGCTGAAACGGCCTGGATTACTGTTTATTAACATTAACCTTCTGCTCATTTCACGTATACTTCTCTAACAAGGTTTATACAAGTTGGACAGATGCTTCGGGAACTTCTACAGCAACGGTCAGAATGACATGCTAAACATGTATTGTTATCCAATGTAAGCTCAAGTTATTCTTTGTTTCTTCAATTTCTGTCATTGTCTTAATCTGGTTAGTGCTTAAATGAAGGCTTTTGTTTTGTTATGAAAATGCAATTATGTGCAGTTGGTTGTGCCTTGAACCTAATTAAACTTTTATTTTGTAATCGAATGATAATTCAATTTTTGAAGGATTTTGTTTTGTTTTTGTTTTTATTTTAACTTGGGGGAAGAAAAAGAGGAGGTTTTTAATTAATGTAATTTGTAGTCTAGAGTTTGAAATGGTTACAATATTACATGGTTTTGTAATTGTTCGATTATAAATTGGAGGTTTGGGGTTAAGGCGATGGCTTTTTGCATTTTAAAGTTGTGATGGTGTGACATTGGGCAATGAAGTTTAAAGCAGGATTTTGGAACCTTAATACATTTTGCTCTTTAAATTTTATTTGTAATTTATGTTCCTTGATAGAGTTTGATTCAAAATCAATCACGTAATGATTTCCAATGCTGGTTCCTTGAAGGGTGTCATATAGACTAGGTAGTCAGTTTTGATTTTATCATGACTTGAGCTCTGAGTTTTTCTTTTTAAAAAGTTTAATTAATAATCCAATTACGTGTCTGGATGGTTGTCAATCTTTTGAAGTTTTGGTTAAGTTTGATGTTTATACTATTTTACTTTCTATTCCCAGATGCGTTTGCATGTGAGTGAACTTGATCACGAGTTTATTTAAGTATTTGATAATCGTGCTTTTTGTCTTCCAATTTCAGATATCATGATACAAAACATAGATTGCAGATATTAAAATTTTTAGGCCGCAACTTTTTATTTGATCGAGGATAATTTATTGTGCAAAAACTAGAATCCATTAATGAGTATTAGAAAATGCAATCTATGTTCTTGGTATATCCTATCATGGAAGACAAAATGCATATATCAAACAAAATTGTGATTATTTTTTCCCGCAAACAACGTACACTGTGAATTGGAATCATTATAGTCTAAAAATCATACTTTAACGAGTATCCCTCCAAACAAGATGACACTACCAAATGCATATTAGGATTATTTGAAATGTTTTTGTAAGAAAAACTCATGTTCCATCTATGGGTAAAATCTAAGTTGTCTCTCTACTCTTTATGACACTCTTCAAGCATCCAACGGCGGAATTCATTATTTTATTTTTAATCGCCTGCCAGGAATATAGATACAATTCGCATTTAAATTATGGAAATTGTTAACAATTGTCTTTTGTTTGTAATCAATATCAATTTTATATTAAGCTTGCATGGTCATGAATAATACCCTAGAATATTAGAAGCATGGATATAATTATGTAGCGTGTATATTTGTCGTATGTTGGATACAATTAAATGTACTAGTGTTTCCTTGTTTTAATTTCTTTTCTCAGATATGAGGAAGCATGTTCGAAATTATTTTGAAAATGTGCATTACATGTTAAATTCTCGTCTGAGGTTCAACCCCAGTGAAGAAGGTCAAGGTTCAATCATTTTAATTGAGAGTAGATTTAAAAAAAATAACCTATCTCATTTAATTCAACTTGGCTGATGATGTTTTTAATTGTGAGTAGATTTTTTAAAAAGTAACCTTGACCTATCCCATTCCATTCAACTTGGTATTCCATGATGCTTTTCATATTACTAGTATTTTCTCTAAGGATTATTGTAAAGTTTTTGAATATTTTTGGAAGAATTTTTTTAAGAAAAACTTGTTGATTTTGGACATGAACTTGTTCTTTGCTTAATGTTATATATATAAAGGTGAAAATTTTGGTATTTTTATTTTTTTAACAAATAAATTATATGGCTTGTGCACAAATTTCTCAAGATTAAGACTTCAAAAATTTATGTATTTTGTTATTTACTGAAGTTAAGGAAGTCGTCTACGATTTTAACATAATGCATGTGAGTTATTATGTATGTGGTATGCTGCGAACGAGTCGCAACGGTAAACTGTCAAGGATGGTGGAATCCCAGTAAGTTTATCCGATCACGAAGGAAGATGTGGACAAAGAAGATACTTGTGATACAAATTTTGATTCATTCAGATTATAATACTGGAGACCTTGATAAAAGATCACTTAGTTGGAATGTCTTAGTAACAGTATGTACATGGAAATGAAGTTATTTGGTGACCTCAGTGAACACATGTAGTTTAGCACACTGTGCTGTGTCTTTCAAACTATTACTACGTTTTGTAAATATCAATTGTTATGAGAAGATAAAATGAGAATATCCGTTGGACCTTGTGGTGTCTTTCTTGTACTAAGTGAATTGTGTCGATATTAAAGCTTTGTTAGATTTTGCCTCGAATTTGTGAGGCGTGTTTTGTATTAAAATAATATTGAATCCATGATTTGAGCAGATTTTGAAAATAGCTTTTTCTTTTCATATTTATTGTTTGATTATTCTCCAACACTGGATATTTACGCTATTTTTAAATATAGTAATTTTACCTATTTGGATTTCTTGTTAAAATACTGTGTCCACCATTTTGGAGAATGGAAAACGACTCTTGCTATTTAAATCGAAAGAAACATATCGTACTTCATTTTAATTGTTCGTAGAACTAGATTCATTGCAAAAGCGTGTCGTGCTTCTTCACTATTGCAAGTGTGTCACATTTGTTTAACACTGGTTTGGGTATGAGGTATTGAAAAATGATATTTTTATTTCGCGCCTTTGATTATTTATTTATATACTTAATTATTTATTTATTATTATTATTACTATCTTTCTTTGTATCAAATCATTCCCTGAATATTTGTCAAACCATGTCAACAAATGCAATAATATCATTGTATTTTTAGGATCATATACCTTATGAACGCGTTTACAGAAATTTTGATTGAAAAAGCATCACATTGACGAAATTGTTTTTTTTTCCCATATTATCCGAATATTCCACCAATAGAACTTATGTTTATGTATAGTACCTAAAATATTATTCCATGTAATTGTATTTTCTAATTTTTTTTAAAAAGTACAATTTCAAAGGTTATTTAAATCAATTAAATTAATTAAAAAAAATTATTGTTAATGTTTTTGATGGAATAAAAAATATGTATAGAAGATATTGGATTCTTAAACCAGATAAGATGATTGTTTGATTATGAATTTGGAGTTTTGTTTAATTTTGTTTTTCGGTTTCAATTATATGATTTAATTGCATTTTACAATTTCTAAATAAAAAGAAATTAAAAACTGACTATATTCTATAAAATTTTTATAATATACTAATTGGTTGCACCACTCTCGATCAATTCTTTGAATTCTAATAAAATTATACTATGAATACTATTTTTTAATAATTTTTTCAATTTGTAATTACAAATATTTTGATGAAGAATTACTTTAAGAGACTTTTAATAACATTCCACCATAGGACGATGAGATTTTTTCGGAAAAAAAAAGAACTTCAAAAAAGAGTTCACAGATCAAAGAAAAGTTGTACTTGAATAATTTTGTTTTTTTGTTTTTTCTTTCAACTGAAGATAAGTGGATATTTGATAGAAATTCTTGGTGGATAAGATTTGATTCATCTCTCCTTTGTAAGTTAGTATTGAAGTTTTTTTTTCAATCTTATTTGTCATCTTAAAGTGCAACAAATTGGAATACTTATTTATTCAAAATAAATAAATGAAATTCTAAAAAATTATAATATATTTGATTTATGTAAGCTTTTCAAAAGTGTGAAGAATACATTAATAAATAATAGTTTATAATTTTTATTTTATATTTGACTTTTTTGAAAACTAAACATAAATCATCATTTATAGTTTATATACATTTAAGTATATTTAATAGGTTGAATTTGAATAATATTTAGTAGTGTTACATAATAACATTTATTTTATTTTGTAAATATTAAGATAACACGAATAATCATTCGGATGTGTTATATCCATTGTATTCGTACATTATAGGTGTCCAAATTTGAAAGCAGAATTCATAACCTACCCTCATACCTCCTCTCAAGTTAGCCATGTTCATCATTGACTTCGTTGACCTTAAATGTTATCATAATTGTTACTTCTTTTTCAAGATAATTGAATCCTAGCCAGCTCTACCCTAAAAAAAAGTTATAGAAAGAAAACAAAGAGTGAGGAAGAATTTATTAACAAATAATAATATACATTTTGCCATGAAGATTGACAAAACAGATTGTGATTTTAGTTGTAGACCCAAGTGACAATCCCTGCTTTCTCTGTCTGCTGCATTGTTGGAGAATGAATGAATGAATGAACAACTTGAAGCTGATTTTCGCTTTGCGCCTCTTGTACTTAAGATGTAGATTCTGATTTTTGGTCAGCATCTGCTGTGGCTTGGACTTGAGCTGCATACTGTAGGTTCCATAAGACTTCTTCAAAAGAGGGAGGAGATGGAGATTCTGGGGATATGCATTTGGTTGCAATAGATGTTGCAATTGATAATGACTCTGGACAGCAAGTGGTCAACACTACTGGATCCACCATTTTAATTCTACCATCTTGACTGTCAAAGGATCTCTGCACTTCACAAAACCAGGTCTCATTTATTAAACTCTATAATCAACAAAACAAAACAAGTATTTCATGGGAACAAAAATATTGAAGATGAATCAACTATTGAATCATGAATTTTCTGTTGTTCTCTACTGAAATTCATTGGTTATGTTATATGAGAGTATATTATCGGTTAAATATGTATGACAAATAGTTAATCAACTACTCTTGTTACCTTAGCAGGTACTTGTTGATGCAGTTAAAATGGTTTAACAACCTATAAGTGATTATAGGTCTGTTTAGATAGTTTATTTTTTTCTAAAAGCATTTATAGGAAAATAAAATAAGAAAGAATTGAATAAACTTCTCGTAAGTAGTTCTATTAGTTCAAGAGTAAGCTAATCTCACTATGAGTTCTTACTCCTCCAAAGAAAAAATAAGGTAGTAGTTTTCAAAAGATTTACCTTTTCATCAAGAAAATATGCTTCTCCTTTTTGGCATGCTATGGGTCCAACAAGAGACTCGAACAATATCAATCCGAAATTGTAGACATCATCTTCTAACTTTTCTCTTTGGCTGCAAGAGAAAGGAACAGCAAATGTTGGTATTCATCTATACAAAAATAGTTCCAAGTATGGCATATTTGGCATTTCACTTTCATAAATTCAAAGGAAGCAAATGTGGAAGAGAAAAAGTGATGCCTGCACAAAACTTATTAGCATAGAGGTAGTGGCAGCAAGTTGTTACACTAAAGTAAGATAAGCTAGCATCAGTATATACCATGATTTTGGATTTTCTCCCTTTGCCTGCACAACACATATGAAAGCAACAGAGTCACTCTTGAATCAAGCATGATATAACAAGCAGTTGGACTAGATAGAAAATAAACATACCTGAAGGTATTCGATTTCCTCAGCAATTATGGACATACCATAGTCACTTAGTTTTGGAAAGTGATGCTCATCAAGTAAAATATTGTTTGTCTTCAATTGGTTTCTGAAACAACCCGGTATAACTCCAGTATGTAAAAAATGCACAGCTTTGGCAACTCCAATTAAAATTGCTAATCTATCAGACCACTTCAGTGCCTTGTCTGATGAAAATTCTGCATGTTTGTACGAAAAGATTAGTTGGCTGAAGCATTCAAGACAGAAAGCTGTGATACAAATTGGTAACAAAAATGAAGGTTATGAAGTGCCACAACATTTTATAAATCCATAAGGCAGACATTTCCTCCAATTAATATCCAATCAAGCCTAACCACATAAGAGAAGAGTTAAATCATATGGTTTTATCCCATCCCGATGGCTTATCATTTCATTGAACTTAATGATACATGATTATTTTTCAAATTCATATTTAAATTTAATCAGCCATAATGTAAATCAAAATTGTAAATAAAGAGAACAATTCGTCCAAGTTGCACCCCTAACACTCTTTTTTCTGAAGTAACTGATTCCTCAAATTCATACCAAGGCTCATCCTAGGCAGGGTCTTTATCTATACATATCGCAGTTCTGGTAATAATGGAAACAGAAACAGTAATTATATCAGAGAGATAAGACTGATTTTTTTTTGAAATTGATGCTTTCATCAGTATACAAAATAATGTAAATAATATCATACTGACCTGACAGATGGGTTCGATAATTCCCATTTGGTACATACTCATATACAAGATGAAGTTTGAGGCCACTATAATCATTTTGTTGGTCACTATCAACACAATGACCCAAAAGGCTAACCAAATTTGGATGGTGAAGCTTTGAGAGGAAATCCAACCGAGCTTTAAGATTTTGTATTGAGCATTTCTTTGACAGAGCCACACATCTTATCACCACATAGGATCCATTGTCAAGTTTACCTTTGTACAGCTGAAATTTAGCAGAAAACATAAGTGGGCACTTATAGAAAATCACTTAACCCTTTCACATACGTTTAAAGATCCAAAATTATTAGTCCACTCTTGCGAGGGATTTCAGAAATTGCAATCTATAAGAAAACTAAAGCAGGCTGAAGTGTTCTGTATAGTCTTAGGGAAGCTCCTTTCTTATGAATAGATTTACTTGTTATGAATGTTATCCACATCCAGTAACATAAGCATTCAAACAACGAAATAAACAAAAATGAAAATTATCTATGGTGAATTATAAAGAATGTTTAAAACACTGGAAGCTATCTAATATTTCCAAAGATTATTTTTCTGATTGATACCTTTCCTAAGGAGCCTTCACCCATATATGTTGACGACTCAAAGTTTCTTGTGACTTCATTCAACTCTTCAATTGAAAACTGTCGACAGGTAGGAATAGCATGTGTCCCTAGCTTTGCTACTTGAGAAATGAATCCTGAAAAAATAGAAAACAAGATATTTCTATATTAGACGTCGAATTAAATCTAGAGATTTCAGTTCAGCAATCTAAAGACAACTGTTGATTCAAGACAGGAGAACATTATTGCCTAGCCTGTGTACTTACTAGCACTAGCAAGGACTTCAGAAGAAACTCCTGTTGTTGAGTTATCTTGAACAGCCTTAGGCAACATCTTATGCCTATACATCTCCCTTGAATAAAATTTTCTATAAAAGAGAACTCCAAAAGCTGAAAGTACAAGCACAATTACAATAATAATGGCAACTGCTACAGCTATTTTCAATTTCCAGAAGTTCTTTCTTCCTGAACTGGACTGTTTACAGTAAGTCCCTCGCTGCTGAGGTTGAGAATCAACAGATAAACAGTTTCCACCATATTTAACAACCCTTTTACCTGATGTATTAGCCAAGCAAGAAGGAAGTTCGCCATTTAACTTGTTACTAGAGATATCCACAAACCCAAGTTTGCTGCCACAGTTTAGTTTTTGTGGAAGAGGCCCACATAGCTCGTTGCTGGCTAAGTTCAAATAGCTAATGTTTGGTAATGAGAACAAGGAAGATGGGGGGATCTTACTTAGAAGATTTGATGAAAGATCTAGATGTTGAAGATGACCCAATTCACTAAACTGATTTGGTATCTCACCTGAAAAAGAATTTTTGCTGAGCAGAATTGTGACTACATCTTTAGGCATCATTGGCAGTTCAGAATCTAAATGATTTTCCCTTAAATCAAGTACATGTAGGCCAGAGAGAGCAGTGAGATCAGGCAACCCACCAGACAACTCATTGTGGGACAAGGAAATATCAGTAAGACTCCCAATTTTGCATAGTGAGGAGGGAAATGAACCCTTTAAGTGGTTGCTCTTCAAACTCAAGACATTTAGATTGGATAAAGAATCAAACCAGTCAGGCATTGTGCTGTTCAAATAATTTCCATCAAGTGTGATTGTATGAAGCTTAGTCATTGTAGACATTCTTGGTGGCACGGAACCATATAAGAAATTTAAGCTCATATCCAAAACTTCAAGCAAAGACAGCCTATGGATTTTTTCAGGAAGTGGACCCCAAATGCCCAAGGACACCAATCTAAGGACCCTTAAGTTGGTTAACCTTGCCAATGTAGTCACAAAAGAATCAATAGAGAAGCTCATTGACAGTGTCTGATTCGGAACTGCATATCCATTGAACTTGTCAACCTTCGCAGCTCTATCTCTATCTCCCATAATTTTAAGCTCAGTTACTGAATTACCCTCACACTTAATGCTCAAATGAGCAGATGGAGGAAGGCTACAAAGGTCTCTAGAGTAATTTTTCCACATTTGCAGGGAGGTAGGGTACTCCAGATACTTTCTTAACTGAAACAGAACTTGGGACTGAGCAAGTTGCAGTTCATGGGTACTATGGATGAACACAAACCAAGTAAGAACCACAAGAAAGAGGTAAGAATATCTCATTGAATCAACTCTGAGCATTAGGCACCAAACTTTGTTGAGCTAAACATCAAACTTAGCTACCAAATTCAAATAGATTAAGACACCTAAAAAATTAAAAATTAAAAATTAAAAACATGTCACAACACTCAACAACGATAAAATCTTGGAAACAAGAACGCAAATTTATCAAATTACCCTAAAAGTATCACTCTCCAAAGAAAATTTTGTTGAACTACAGGTTGAAAAAGCAATGCATCATCTACTCCATATTCTTATAACAATATTTACTCAAACAAGATATTTAACTTATAAGAGGAAAAGGGAGGAACATGAACCATTCAGTGAAGCCAAGAAAACACAAAAGAAGGAAAATAAAGAATGGCAAAGACACACCACTAGAAAGTTGAAGACAAGAAGCAGTAGCATAGGATAGAATGAGGGACAACACTTTGGGAAGTGAAAGAAATATGAGGAGGGCCATTACAGTGAAAAAATTACTGCTTCAATGAAGAGGACACGCGTTGAATGAGATGTGGTGAATGAAAAGGGTGGTAGTTGAAAATGGCATAACATGAATAACTCAAAACATTAACTGGGCAAAGTAACTGTATAAAGCAGTTAATGCATGCTGAGAAATTAGAAGTGACTTCACACACTCTCACTAACTACTTGCCATCAATAAGAGAATGATGGGACCAGTGGCATGGTGGAGGAGGAGACTTTGGGTAGACCCACTGAACTGTTGTGGGACGAAGAAGAATACAAACAAGGGAAGGGAACAGGAACAGCCTGGAATTTGTGTTGTTGACAAAGTTTATGTGTTTTGCTTATCTCCAATCTTAATATTCTTGCCCTTTGTTTGGACATGGATCAATTTTTACTTTTTAAAATGTGCTTTTAAATCCTTCAAAATATTAAATTTTTAAATTTGTTTACATAATTAAAGACATCACATATTTGAATATTCATATAACTTTTGTCATAGAATAGAAAAAAATCAACATCAGATGGGGAACCCATAAACTCAGAAGATTAAAAAATGACTTTTTAACTATTTAATATAATTGAATATTTAAACTTTATATTTGATATTATTAGGTAAAATGGAACTCTAGGTTAACTGATTCATATATTCTATAGTTAAGACTATGGCATGGCCATTGCATAGGGTTCCTCCACCAGTTAAATTGGACAATAATCGGAATTAAATTAATTACTACCCTGTTTGGCATGTTTAATGATAATTGACTTTGCATGAATTTGTGTGTCTGAAACAATTTTTTTTTTTTTTGACAATTTTGAAGGCTGGTTGAGACATTAGTTATTAGGTTTTTTATCATGACAGTGACTTTCCAGTTTTTGTCTCCAGTGACATTTATAAGCTGCTAACTTAGAAGGTGTAGGTGCTGTGAAACGACAAAATGTAGATGGAGTGTTTTTTTTTTTTTTTTAATATTTAAAATTTATAATAACTTTTTTTTCTGTTCATTTTTATGCAAAATAAATATATTAGAATCTACTTAAAGGTAAGGAGTAATATAGATGTATAAAAAAATCTTACAAAATGTGTAATACCTAAAATACACCATTCAATATACAATTTCACCGTTTTCAAATGAAATTAATATACAATAAATTTAAATCGATTCATTTTTTAATATTTTATTAAAATAGGATGATTTAATATTTAAAAAGTATCTTTCATTTATTTCTTACAAATTAAATGCTTTAATTATACATAATATTATATTATATATTTATAAAGTTATAATCCACAAATTTCTTATAAATTTTTCTAATTTATTACAAAAAAAAATTAACCTTTAATTTTTACCATTTCTCTTAATTTACCATAATAAATTAAAATATCAAATAATTAAAATTAATTGTAATTAATTCATAAAAGTATATCAACTAAAATTTATCTATAATATAAAATTAGTCACAATTAATTTATAAAAATCATAATTAATATTTATAACTTTTACTTTAATTAATTAGTTTTATAAAATTAAATTAAATATTACTTAATTTTAAATATAATTTAGATTTATTAATTTAAATTTTTATTTAAATATAAATATAAACTATATAAAAAATTTAATATTAATTAGTAGTTAATATAATTTAAAAAATATCAGGTAATAATTTTTTTTATATTTAATTTTTGTCAAGTTTGATTTTGATTAAAATTAGTAAAAAAATAAAACTTACAACAAGAGTTTTTATCTTGATTTAGGTTAATCTTTTATTATATCAATGATAATATTTACTTTACATTAATCATGGTTATATTGTTCAATATCGTCAATTATTGTTTGTCTGATTTTTTTAATGATGTTGATTAAATGATTTTTCTGTTAATATTGATTAAAAATTGTTAAATATGAATATTCTTAACTTAAAAGATTAATTAAATTGGATAATACATCTCCGAACTTTTCACGCGCTCTAAAAAGAAAAATAACATATATCTATAAATAAATAAATAAGAATACAGGCCTACAATTAAACAATCACACCACTCACAAAAAGATAACAACTATTACAATTCTTTTTTAATGATACTTAAAAAAAATTATCATTGATATAATAGTCACTAAAAATAGGGTGTTTAATCACAATTGATAATTGTTATTAGATGTATAACCTATCAGAATAATTGAAATAATAATAGTGGGTAGACATAGTCTCAATATTGATTTTAGAAATCAATGATCACTTTATATACATGAAACAAGCCTGTTGATAAGTATAAATTTAAAAAAACTTAAAGACTAGTATGAAAATTAATCCTAAGCTAAACATGCATGTGTTATATGGGCTTATTATTGTCTCTTTCTTAAGTTGGAGGAATATGTTTTTGTTTCCAATAATTTAACTGTCTTTACTTCAAAAACAATGTTATGTCTGGTATCTTAACTTACTCACCCAAGATAAAAGAAAACAAAGTAGTATTAGATCATGTCTTTTATGGCATCGATTAATGACATGCAAGTTGATTAAGTGAATAGTTTGTTTTGCATAAGGTTAAAAACAAAACAAAGCATTCGATCTTTCGAAGTTGAAACAACACAGGTGGGGACCATAAAAAATGGATGTTTGAAATTGTTTTTGTTTTGTTTGGTAGAAGGCATGCATGCACCTTCTACGTGGGAATGCCATCTTCTAGGTTTTTGCTCTCACGTTCGCTTCCACCAGCACAACAGAACAAAAAGGTAATTACTCTATTCACTTATTCTTATCCTCACGCTTAGGTTGGACCACTCACCAACCATTATTTATTTATTTACTTATTTATTTATGTTAAAAAATAATGAGAGTATGGCAAGATTATCCTCAAGATTGTCCTGAATGGTTTTCCACATGTTAGATTCACACACAAAATCTAGGTTTGATTACAACTTTTGTAATAAAATTTCACATGTTTGTAGTATATATCCTAAAAATTTAGCAGTAATTTATGTATTATTATGTCAACTTAAAATATTTTTATTTTATGATAATTATTGATAGAATGTCATGCAAATGTACTACTTTTTATATAGTTTAATTGTTTCTAGCCAACAATTCAGGTGATTTTGTCAAGTACATAAATTTTTAGAAACATAAAAAATATATAATTCATACAATATAATAATATATTCATAGATTTATACATTCTTTTTATAAAATTGATTATTTCTTATATAGTGTTAAGGTACACAGTAATTCAAAAATAATATGCAAAATCACTACATTGCAGTATGATATTTTGCCAAATGTTTTGTAAATTATTCAGTGAACTAATTTTTTTGTAATTTATAACTTAGTTCCATGTTCTATACTGTTTTTTTAATATAATTTCAGGTAAATAGAACAATTAAACGTAATCTAAAAATGTATATTATAATTTTCTCTTACCTTTTCAAAACTGCTCACGACACCTTGTCATGCTTGCAAAAAGCGTTTAAAAATAATTCTAACACATAACTAGAAAGTCTTTCTATAGAAACTTTGATTATTAGATACTTATACATCAAATGTGATGTTGTGCACAAAAATAAATATTAAAGTAAAAAAAAATATTATTCATTTACAATTATTATTGTATCACTAAAAATATTCAAACATAATATTAATAGTATGACCTTGAATCATTTAACTATAAATCATAAGTGTTATCTTTTAATCATAAATATTTTTCGAAAAGGCCAAAATGGACAAAAAAGAAAATTAAACAAATTCAAACATAATCCAGAAAATATCTTAAAATATCAATGTAAGTAATATATTTTCCATCTTTTTCTGTCAAGTGGAAAAGGGCAATGTGGAATATTGAAGATAACCGACTAATCAGTTTGTATGGTTGTATGCAGAAGAAAGATTGGTTCTGCTATAATATCTGCATTTTAACTTCTAATGAACTTCCTTTACCAAATTCAAAATGGGGACTGCGGCATTGTGCAGGGGTAAAAATTATTACATTGTCTACAGATGCTAAAATAAGGAGTTACTTGAACAAATTTGGTAAATAGAAAGCATACCCTTCCTAGTTCCTAGATTATATCACTTGTCAGGGACTGTGTTGTCTGAAGCAGAGTTGAGGTAGGATATTACAAGATCAGCTGCTTGGCAGCCTGAGGCAATTGCTTTGCCAACTGAGAGTCCACCTTTGTAGTTACCTACCAAGCTCATCATTATTAGCATGAGAGTTTAGGGTACATTTGAAAGAGCTTACTACAGTTTTATTTGGCCTAATATTATGACACAAGCACTTCTGTAAAATGTTTGCAAGAACTTACGAAAATAGCTTAGTTGTTTTCAACTTAGTTCACGAAGTTCTTCAGAATAACTTCCAACTTATATGATAAACAATTATTTAATAAGCACTTAATTAAGCTATTTACTCAGAAGAGCATTACAAATTAATGCTACGTGCATGTTCTTACCCTATTCCGCATAATATTATCCCTACAAGAATACATAAAAGAGGTCTGCATTTAACTTAAGCGTTTGCAACTTTACACGAATGCATACGTGGCTACACCAGACTTCAAGTGGAATTAAAAAAAAGGACCCAATCAGTTACCTGCAAAGAAAAATCCAGGAAGATCTTTTTCCATCTTATCAATTGCTTCAAGAACTGATCCATAGTTACGTCCATACAAAGGAAAGCCTTTACTCCAATAGAAATGGCTGTTATTGAGCATAATTTAGAACTTAGAAGGATAAAATATAATATAAAAGTAAAGTATATAAAATAAATTGTCAACATACTTAACAAATGTTGGTTCCCCCTCTGCTCCCAACAACTTTCTCAGGTCAGAAGTAACAATTTTCTTAAGTTCATCGCTGCAGTAAATAAGCAAGCTAATAATGAAAAGGATATAGAGAAAAGAAGATAAGTCAACAGGAGATTACATATGGTTTTTGACAATGTATAATCATTCCAATATATCTGTTGTCACTGCTACTTTTATAAAATTTATTTGAATAGGAGTTGAAGATAACAATTAGTTGAATAGGAGTGACAAAAGGCTAAGATAGTGGCAAAATATACTTATGGTTCTGGTTCTGTAAAATATATGATTACAACTACAGTAAAAGTACGTTGAAGCTTGAGCCAGTTCCCTGTTTTGGGTTCCGCCAATGAAAGTGGTATAGAGATATAAATCACTAGGTGCACGATCTGGAAACATCATAGAGGAAAAAAGTGTACCTGTTGAGCAAGATAATTCAGCAGTTACATAAGAAAATAGTTTAACCTATTAGATATGTAGAATCAGAGACACATGGAAACATTACCAAGTGTTCGTAAACCATTTTGTCTCTCTTTAGAAGGAACAAGAACTCCAAAACCCTCCAAAGGTCTCTTTACATTCTCCTTTTTGAATGTTGTAATCATGACTGAGATTGGCACGTAGCTTATCTGCAACAGGGGTTGTGAGATGCTGTTACAGAAACAATAACTAATAGAATGTAGAATTAACTAGTTCAGTTTGTTTATATTGGATGTCCCCTAAAAGAGAGATGCTTTTGAATCTCAAATTTAAGATGGTAAGGTAGCCTTTCGCATTCACAAACAAACTAATTTACGTGGCTATAGCTTTGTTTCGTAACCCCTTTCACATCTTGATTAATGGTGCATGTAGGGTGTAGCATGGAACCTTAAATTTGCATGCAAATAAATTTTTAAGTAAATAATTGAACTCCAAGTCAAGATGAAATGGCGAATACCTCGGGAAGAAAATTAAGTGGAAAGGGGGTTCTCCTTTTTGTAATCTTGATGTCCTTGACATTATATAGAGGAGCCTATATTATTATTGCAAAAAAAAAAAATGTCAGAGATTGAACTCATAGCAACAACATCATATAGTTTCGCTGAAAAAAAGTGTAAGATTTGAGATAAAAACTTCAGTAAGCAACTAGCATTGTGATATAATGTTTCACCGAAAAATGTGTAAGCTTCGAAATAAAACTTCTGAAACTAACTCAACAAAAGTTCTGTCACATTTTTTGGGAAGAAAAATAATGCTGATTAAAACTCCAGAGGATATTAATAAATGCTTATGCAGATTAGTAGATTACAAATAGCTGATTGGTGAGAATAAAAATACGACCCTGCTTTCTATCAACAGAGATTCTAGCAGAGATTTATCATATTTTAAGCCAGAGTTTCCTTGAATAATATTTCTAAATAATTTTGAGCAACATGAAATTACTAATTACAAAGATGCAATTAATGTGCTATAAACAAAGATGCATTCAGATATATAGCAATATAACTTACTAATTACAAGAAATTGAACAAAATTGTCTATTTTTACGTGTCTTGGAGCAACCTATCCTTAGAAATAAATAATGATAATACATTTGTTTATTTGGTTCAACCTTTTCATGGCTCTGGCAAGAATACAAAACGGGAATTCTTTTATCTCTCAACATAAGAATAGCAATTGCAATGATAATGCCTTTTGCTTTTCCTGACGTAACTTGTTTCGTTTGTCCTACTTTTTATCTGGAGTTTAAACTTAACTTCATGTGCATCTTTCTCAGATATTAGCCAAATCATTCCCAGGCTTCGGTTCAATTTTTAGTCATATACTAATATTCATGCAAAATTTCAGTGGCTACTTCTAAATATTTGGCGAAAGAAAGAAAAGGAGGATAAAGAAGAACAACCCCACTAACCGTCATGATTACTGCATCAACACCTTGTGTACTTTGGTTAGAAACACAAGTAATAGACCAGTTTTGTGATGAGGAACTTTTATCATGACCATAAGCTAATGTTAAAACCTTTGAATTAAATTTAAGGTTCTCTTTCCCAAGCTCATTGCACAATGTATCTGTCAGAGTCTGTGCTGGATAACATCATATAATATTCATATGGTCAATGTATCCAATCAAGCACCGCACAGGGTTTTCTCAGAGATATATTTGAACAACAATTCAATACCTGCATCCCACCCTGGAAAGAAAATGAACCACGCTTGGGTTTATTTTTTCTTAGCACGGTCTTATTTTCTCCAGTTTTGTCCCTTTTGGCAAATAACATAGATTGCAATGCCCCAGCAATAACGGAACCATACCTGAAAATATAGATTATCCATTAGAAAAAACTATAAAAACTTTATACCTAACATTTCTAAGGAGACTACCCCACAACTCTTGCACCCACATTTTACTCCAAAAGAGTAAAATGCTGAACAATTGTTTAAAGGTTGACTCCTTCAGCTTAAAGTTGCAACGGAATGGAACAACTTTTGATCCAATGCTTACCACTAGGCTAAATGTTGTACCAGTACCTAATAGTCAAGGCACAGTCTCCAATTCAAGTGCATAAGCCCAAATGACACAGTTTAATTTTACAATAAACAAATGGAATAACATATGCTTGAAACAGCTTCATAGGAACATAAGTCAATTTTGACAGATGTGCCATATTCACCAGAATCCAGTGCAAAATATTTAGACAATTTTTTCATGAATAATAAACTACTATAATATGACAAGTTGTATTTTTTAAGAGATCATATACAGAGAGCGGTAAATGGACCTCCATACTTCATAGTTAACATATATCACATAAAATTTCAACTGGATTGAAGTTATGTATCAAAAAGAATTCAAACAATCAGCTATAATAATTTAAGAGCACTAAAAGAAAGTTAAAGGCAATACCTTTTCTCCAAATTCCACAGCTCTGGGAAAAAATGGCGCATCTGTTTGAAAAAGAATAAAAAACAAGGTAATTAAAAATAAAAAGTTAGTACAACTAAAAGTATTTGTTGATCCTGACTGGTTAAGTGAAAATTTCAGGGGGAATTTACCTCACGTCATAAACTAGTTAAAATTTGCAAGACAAATAATCTAAACTGTTGGCATGACCAGGGTCTTTGCCCAACACCAGCTGCGCATGCAATCTTGCATTTCAAATGTTTGATTGCCACCTGGACCAACAGTATGATTTCTCTTTCTCTCTCTCTCTCTTTTTCTAGTAGAGTGATGTATTACCGATATTCTTTTCCCAGGTCTTAGTGTTAAAAACATCAAGGATGATTTGAATAGCAGACAAAAGGGGAGTTGGGCTAAAACCACTTTGCAGAAGTGGCAGGAGGAAAGCAAGAGAAGAAATAGAAGGATTAGGTAAAATATAAGGGGGATCAGGGAATGCGAAAGAAGAATTAGGTAGAGTTGAAGATCGTTGACCTTGGGGAGCTAGCTTAGTTACTGTTCTTTTAAGACTGTACTTTATTGGTTACATTCTCAGTTTTTTGTAATAGAAAAGGAGGCTAGTCAATACGCTAAATGCACAGCCAGAGGGAACTCTAATGTGGGGTTTATAAGGCCTTCCACTCTGGAGCTACAGCAACTACCTTTTCTGTCGTGATTCTCCCAAGGTTCTTACCATCATCATTCTTTAAAAATAAATAGAAAGAAAGAAAATGTCTAGAAAACACAATACTATTCATTAGAGGCATATATATATATATATATATATATATATATATATATATATATATATAAAACAACTGTACCATACCTACTTATGCAGTTTTTGTAGTCAGGAAAAAACCTAAGATGTCGTGAACTACTGATTTTACTATCCCAAATTATAGAAAAGCAAAAGTTTGATAGAGAAGTTATAATAATTACAAGATACAATATTCCAAAAGCAAAGTTAATGTTGAGAATATTGTTTTATATTTTTTATTTAAATTAGATATAAAGAGATTTTTATATTATTTAGAATAAGACAAAAAGATATTATGTTATTATTTTTATTTAGGTAATTATGATTGAAATATTGTTGATATTTAATATTTTGTTATATTTTTACTTTATATACATAAAGTACATGAATAAAATTCATATGAGATATATTTCATATATCAAAAATATATATACACAAAAATCCTAAAAATTCCCATATGGTAACTATCCTATATGATTATCCAATCTAAATAAAACGGAAATTCAAATTTAAAGGCATGAAATATGAAACAATTTACAAATAAGCTAATTTATGAGCAGTAATAACTCACAGAAAGAGATTCAGGATCTGCTGCACTAGTTCCTCCAACAAAAGGATCAATCAGATAGTCCACAACCTTCAAATAGTTTTGTTAGAAGAAGGCATAAAACACTCCAACCCAAACAATAAATATTTGGCTAAATTACTCTTTTTGGTCCAAATCTTTTCTTTAATTTGTTCAACTTGATCTCTCTAGTATTTAAATGTTTAATGTGATCCTCCAATAGACAACATATTCCATGCAGCCTTTTTGTCTGATTTTCTTACTAACAACGTTAGCCTAATCTGATATGATAGTGACGGGTACACAAGGACAAGATAGGCAGAAAAGACTATATGTAATATAGTTTTGGCAATAGAGGACCTCAATGAACATTTAATAATAAAGGGACCAAGTTGAAAAAAATTAAAAAATAAAGGTACCATAAGTGTAGTTTAGCCTAAATGTCATGCTTGAAGATGTACGTACTGTACACTGCAAGTATATATCATTTTAGTCACAAGCAGAAAAACAGCCAATGAGTGACACTATTGCAGTGTGGCTTATACCTCTTTCCCAAAATGACGTTGAAAGAAGCTTCTAACACTGCAAGAAAGAAAGTAGAACAAAGGCTGAGGATATTACTTCTATGATATGGTAAAATATTATAGAGTAAGGTTCGGTTGAACTGGATGCCATCAATTGATGTTTATCGAACCTTTCCTCAGAATTTTCATCACACACATCAGAGGGGTTACTTCTTTTCCACATAAATGGTTCAAAAATGACCTGGATCTGCAAAATTTGGAAAGTTAAGTGGACAAGTTATCCTCTTGAAGTGGGATGAATGAGTAGGTTTAGTTAGCTACATTTAGAAGGGTTAATAAAATACCACTAACATAGCAGAAAAAAGGAAAAAGAAAAGGAACAAACAGCATGAATAAAAATCTCTCATTTTTCCTTCCGTGGTAAATCATAAATTAATCCAAATTATTTCCTGAACATTTATTTTTCAGTTTAGGAGTTTGACATCAACTTCCTTGAGTACATCTAATGCCAAATTCCCTTGTTTGATATTCTTAGTAGAAAATCTATTTCAAGGGCAAGTAATTTTTAGCATAGAACTAGTACAATTTTAACATACAATTAGTTCAAGCAATTCCCATGACTGATATTCTTAGTAGAACTAGTACAAACCTTGACATGAATAACATACGCATAAAAATTTGCACAAAATCAGAGTGAAAACCTCTTAATAAATTTAACACAAAATGCAAAACAGCAAGGTCAGCAGTTCCTCAAAAGATTAATTGTTCACTGTTTTAGCAATAACTTGTAAACCTCTTAATTGTTTACAAGGCCATTGCCTTGTAAACCTTTTCTCCCCAGAGAAAATAGGTGTCGATAGAAAACAATCCACCAAAATGGGATGAAAACTCTCATAATATCCCATTCAGATTAGAAAGAGCTTGGAGCTATATATAAAAATGGAACCAGATGTTAAAAAAACGACAACCTATAAACATAAGCAGAGAGACAAAACAAGTCATATTTCTCAGCTAATTGTTATATCAAAAGCAATGAGATTGGGTCATTGTACGCTAATAATGTCAGCAAACGATCATAGACTTCATACATCATGGAATATTCAGCATTTAATACTTCAATTTAGTAAAAACATATATTTATGATTGTGTTCAGACATCAAAGTCATGATTCACTCATATTGTTATCGTAACCTACATTTTGCATAAGGGAATGCATATGTGATAATTGTCAAAAAAGTTGCAAACGAAAGATATTCAAACATGTTAGGGGAGTATGTCCAGATTCTGATATCTAATGAAAAAGAATTTAGTGAGGCTCAAAACGTTATACAATGTACTAGGAAGGAGAATTTGAGCAGTGTGTGGGTAAGCATTCAATGATAATGAAAAATTTTGAAAGTTCAAGAAGCTGAAGATCCTTGGTCATGTGAGAAAGAAACCTTTGATTGTGCAGACAATAGTTTACTCTTCAGAAGTGCAGCAGGATTTGTGGGTACCTGATTTATAAAGTTACCACATTTTACATTTATTATGAGACCAAGAGAGCTGCAAAACATGAAAACCCTCTTAAAAAGTTCAAATAATTTGAAATAGAAAACAATGAATCAACATTTTAGAAGTTATAAGATATACCAGAACTGGTGCCCCATTTTTCACAATATACCGTTTATGCTGTGATAATGGCTGTAACAGAAAATAAAATCTCAATCTTAATCATAAGTACAGCAAATATTTAAACTCTGTATAAACCTATCATCAATACTCTTAAACTTCAAACAATAACAATAAAATGTAAACTACATTTCAACGAACTAAAGCTCTAGCAGGTAAAAAATATTATAAAGAGGTCAACAATGGAAGATGAATGAAAGAAACTTGCTTTATACAATTGAGAAAAATATATTCTTAGACATTCTGTTTTGTAAGCGAAAAATTCTTACAAATTGTTGCTTTTCTTCAAGTCCAAGAGCATCAATCAGACCTTTAACCTCAACTTCACTTTCAGTCTGCACAAGATGAACAAAACTCAACATCAATAGTAAGAACTTTTGTTATAAGCATATACTGAATAAAGGTCAATTTACAAATGAATACACGGCATTTAAGTCATTTTCAACATTTATATATGAAGTTTATTTGCAACACAGAACATCCCCAAAGTTTTTGTTAGATTGAAAACATTAATTTTTCTTAGTCCTAACTTCTCATAGTTCATGTGAGAAGAAAGTGCCCTAAAACATAAGGATGGGTACCTTGCAAGCTGGGTCAACTCACTTCTAGCTATACCAATAGGATGTTAAAACTTGCAGAATCTTTTTTTTTTCACTCTAACCAAACCTCAGGTAGGTTGTGAAACAAAATTAATTTGTGTAACAACGTGGAAAATAGATAAAATACCAGAAGGGTGATTAGAGACTAAATTACAAATCCTCATCCTCTAATGTGAATATCTCTTCAAAATAGCACATGAATAATTTATTGATGAAAAAAAATGGTTTTGACTTTGGAATTTGATTGAATATTGATCCATGATAAACTTACCATTGTATTGGCTCCCTCATCCCAAATTAGGCCATTCCGAGAAACACTTTTCAACCTCCCTCCAGCTCTTCCTTCAGCTTCAAATACAGTGACATCCAGACCATGTGATTTCAATTTGTAAGCCGCAGCAAGCCCACTTGACAGTAACACGTAAAGTAAGGGAGAATGTCATAAATATTTAAAATCTAAGGTACACCAATAATTGAAAAGTTTATCATGGACGATGCAAGCACCCGATGCCCATCATCAAATACAATACAATCAATCGTCATATTTCAGCCAAATAGCAACAATGAAACAACCTGAAATAACATCATTTCATTATTCCTTTCAAATTCATTTCCTCACACAGGCTTCAACTCAACATAAAAGATGTTGATGGAATTCTAAAATTTCCCATCACATGAAGGGCAAGGCTTCACGCTACCAACACGTCTAAATCCAGCCAAGCCAACAATAACAATCCAAACTGTCAATCTGACTAAAATTTAAGTAAATAAATTCAAGCATCAGCATTAAGCAGCAGACAGATAATAAACAGAGAAAAAAAAAATACAAACAACGACAAATTATAGCAACACACTTTTAAATACACTTTTGGACACACTCTTTATGTTTAGGTGAATTTCACATAAGCAGTATATATAAAAAAAAATGTGTCTCATATTTCTGAAAATATGTAGGAAGTACTGAATTGATAACATCAAGAAGTGACCCACCTTACCCCAGCACCAACAACCGCTACTCTTTTTACAGATCCTGCAGACGCATAAGTACCAAGGTCAACGTTTCTAAAAATTTAAGGAATCACAAATCCTAGTAAGCATGAATTTGGTACTGAAATTATCACACATTCTCGAATTTGTGCCTAGTTTAAGAATTGACTCGCAACTCAACTGAAGAGGAAACTAAAGACAGATATTTAAACTTAAATTTGAAGCGATGGTTATTATGGTAACAAAAACGGAGATAAATTAGATATATGAGATAACTTACTTGGGTCATCGTCTGTTTCAGAGGAAGCCATAATCAGTCTCAGGCTCGCGGGGATTGGTGGGTCTGGGATAGTGAGAGCTGAGAACAATGCCTTCAACGATGTCATCTCTTTTTAAAAAAAAAAAAAATATATATATATATATATATATATATATATATATAATAATAATAATAATAATAATAATAATTATTATTATTATTATTATACGTTTAAATATGATTTGGATCTTTCCAATATTATTTTAGTTTTAATCTTAAAAAATTATCATTTTAGCTGCAAATGTTATATTTGTTGTTTTAATTCTTATATATATATAAAAAAAAAAAACCCTTTAATTAGTCTCGTTTCTAGCCCGACATTTTAGTCCACACCTCAATTCATGTACATATGACAAAAGGAAAATTGACGTAGTTAACAAAATCATCATTCTTGTCATGTCGATTGATAAGTGTGAAAAAAATTGTTTTTTTTTCCTCTGTATATATTTTTTAAAAGTTGTCTTTAGTTTTTCTATTATATGAATTTAATATTTTAAATTTTGAAAATATATGATTTATGTTTTAATATTTAAATAAATGTTTCGTGACAATTTTTATTATTAAAAAAGTAATAAAAAATTACGTAATATTCTATTTAAATCTCTTTATATTTAAATTTAATATATAATAAACATTTTTATCGTATCAAAGTAAAAAAAATTATAATTAATTAATTTTTAAAATATAGAAAAAAATGTTTAACTCAACAGTTTGTATATTTTTTTCTTTTCATGTTCCCTTTCATCCCAATAAAACCAATTTCACTTTTTTATTTTATCTACAAAACTAAATTCCAATGTTATTTTATTTTAACACACCACATTACCATATGTATTTTTTTAGATAAAAATCCAACCTATCTCAATTTAATCATGAAATTTTGTATGTTAATAATAGTCTAATCCAAATACAACTAAAATTACTAAATAATAATAATAAACTATTATTTATTTTATTTACTTATTTCATTAATTATATATATATATATATATATATATATATATATATATATATATATATATATTTTGTAAGAATTAAAAACGACTTCATGCTAAAGAATATTTTGTTAGATCTAAACTTAGATAAAATTCAAATTATAAGATATATATTTTGATTAAAAATAAGTTTTAAGAATTATTTAAGAAATATATAATCTAATGGCATATTTTTATTGTAAATAGTTTCCAACATGCGTTAGTTTATAAATCATATAAATTGAAGAATACCTAAAAAAATATAAAAATATGAAACATAAGTGGTAATTTAATATAGAAGTTGCTTAAATGCTTTGTAGCAATCAAAATATAACAAGACCATCTTTAACTCTTTAGCATTTTTTTTTCATACTTTTGTTTTCAATATTCTCATCACATAATCAATAATTCTTCTACAAATGAAGTATGTTAACTACATACTGATTGAATAAATTCAATTGAAATGGAATAAAAAGGCTTATTTAACCGTTTTATTACAATTTAGAATAGCAAAATAGGAGAGAAAAATGATAGGGTAATGAATTTCAACATACGTATAAATATAATAAATAAATGAAATAAAGATTTTTAAAAAGTGAGTAGAGGAGAGAAGACACACATAATTATAATAGTTCCAAAAACAACATGTTATGTGATTATAATCAATAAAAAAATTATACCTTTTTTTGAAGAAAATTTAAGAAAGGTAAATGTCAATTAATATTCAAAAATATCATTCGAACAAAAAAGTTATATGATCTACCAAAAATTGAAATATAAAGTAAGAAAATTACTTTATTAAATTAAATTGAAAAATGAACTTTTGAAATTACATTACGATCAACAAAGTGTGGATCAAAACATGATTAAGCATCAAATGATGAAAAGTGAAAATGGAAACCAATTTGAACTAATTATTTTTAAACTTTGTTATCTCATCACCTGGATTGAAAACACATAGTAGAAAAATGTTGATTTTTTTAAGAACCCTGAAATTCAGATAATCCTCCATTAAAACCCTAATCAATTAGTGAACTCAAAGTAAATTCCACAAACTCTAATACTTGAATCTAATTGTTCACTAAAAATAAAATAAATTAAAGAAAGATAAATTTTAATGGTATTTGAATGGACATGTTGAACCAAGAAATGATATGCAAGTGAGAGAAGTGAAAAATAAATTAATTAACAAATAAAATTATTGTAGTAACTAAAATATTTGTCAATATGTGATGGTTTTTTATAATGACTAGAAATAAACCCATATATAAACAAGTTTTTAGTGTTGAATTGAAATTTCAACCATATATTTCAATGTTTATTAATAATACCTAATTTATATATAGAACAAAAAAATAAATTTTAATTGATTTTCATTTTGTTAAGTAAATTATAGTTTATGATAATATTATTTTGTTGAATGATTTTTCATAGACTTGACCCATTAACAAATCCCCTTAATTGATACCAATTTTATGTATAATTGCTTTATAACCAAACCCTCACTAATTTCCATTCCATTTTGAGAACCAAACATTATGTTGTTAGGAAAGGTAAGACCTTTAAAAGAGACATGTTATACATAAATGAAAATATCAATCACTCAAGAAAGTAAATAAATGGAGTAGCTATGTAGTCTTAAACTCTACCCATGACACTAATTGCATCATTATATTTTAGTAAATTCACACAACATCTCATTTCTATTTTTTTTTTCTTTAAATTTAAGGATGATTCTTGAGTTTCAACTTCTCCCACAGAATGGTCATTTGCTTCCTCTTTCTTCTGCTCCATGTGCCTGCAAACAGTTGAAATGAATTTTTTATAAAAAAAAAAAAAAAAAAGTTGACAATGTTCTTAAAAATGTCATTTTTTTACAAAAAAAAGACATTAAGAAGTGTCTGATATCAATAATATATGGAGCATATTCCAAGATTTGGATTTAAAATTTTAGTGATTAAGCCTTTTATCATAACTAAAGTACTTTGTAAACAATTATAATTTGGTTAAAGGTTTGCAGTAACTTACGCTTGCCCAGCGTGAGAGCTGATAGAGTTGCAGGGTCTCATTTGAGGCATGGCATATGAGAAGATGAATGTTCCGTGGTTGAACCATCCAAGCAAACCTCATGTATAATGCTGAATACACGCACATTACTGCAGTGTTGGAGTTAATCATATTTTAATCAAAGTCAATTAATTTGCACATAAATTGGATGAAGGAAAATAAGATGAACCTGTTGTCATTCTTCCATTTATTGTTTCTGCTGGCTTCCGTGTGTCTACCACCGTCTGTGAATTCCGTCACAAAATAGTCACAATTAGTAAATAGTTATATGAAAAACTGATTTTAGCGGCGGACAAAATCCATCGAAACTACAAATTCCGTCACAAAATATGATACCGCAATAGGAATGCCCCAGTTGACGGCAGGACCCCAAAAGTGAGCTGTTTTAGGACCAACAGGACTGTTCCAGAAGGAGTTCAAGAGTTCCATTAGGGTTTTCATTTTTAGCTTCTAATTTGCACCTGCACTCTTCAATTCATCATTGTCAAATTAAACAATATAACCATGCATGATCTACACTACTAGAATAAAAATAGTGTCAAATAAAATGAGTGTTAGTGTTTTTTTTTTTTGTATTTATTGTCATATTCATATCTCTTATTTGTTCTCATTATTAATTTTCTGTTTCAGTAAATATAAATATATTATAAGATAATATAAATCAAATCATATTAATTTCTTTAAATCTCCTAAACCGAACAACATCAACTTCATTATGTAAACTATCAATACTAAAGGAGTTGCGATATAGACTTTAACAGAACTTGCTATCAATCGATTATTCTCATAATTGATAACAGTTGCACACTAACTATTTGTAACAACAGATCGAAATTTTAGACATAAAAAAAGAAAAGTGAACCATATAGAACAAACAATATACAACATGATGAACTATTCTTCGGTCAATAAAGCAAACGAACTTTACGAAAAGTGTAGCAGAATTGGATATCTGATTCTGGCGAAGAACACCAAAATTTGAAAGCTGAAAGGACAAACCAGAACGGGTTGAAAAATGTAGAGATTCTGCCATTAAAAAAACTTCAATTCAAAAAGTCAAAAAACACCACTTCCAATTTATTATGAATCAAAACGTGACACTTGTATTTTATAACAATTGTTTCAGTTTACAACCTTAATTATATATCTTTCAACCTTCATACTTGTATTTTCTAATAGGTTGGAATATTTGTCATGTAAACTATGTTGTTGTTCTGGGCCGATACTCCAGAGGCCCAATATTTAGTCAGACATATAAGCCCAATCTACCAATAACCTAATAAATTCACGTATATCCTATTATTTAATTGAATAATGACCAGAGGTACATCAAATAATATATTATTAATAAATAATAAATAAATACAAAAAAAATAAAAATAAAAAAAAGAGAGAATAAAATTATAAATATATAAATAAATATATTAAATGATAATTAAGTTTAAGGAAACAAAATCATAAATTATATATGAGAGTTAAGAGTGATGAGAGGATAAAATTGTAAATATACTAAATAAATATATAAAATGATCATTAAACTTGAGGGAATCAAAATCACAAATTATATGGGAGTTATAAAAGTTGAAGGGTCACTGTCACTTCAACTTCCAAGAAGATGATCCACGACTGATAATCACACTAAAAAAATTTTAAGATTTATAAAAAGATTTAACGGGATAAACTATGTGAGTCTCCCACACAAAACCAAAATTGTTGGGTTCGTAAAGGAACATTATCTAAGGATTATTTCAATTAACAAGAATGATCATATTTTATAGAAAAATATAATAAACAATTGCAATTTTTTTTATCATAACAAATTTAATTAAGATTGCAAAACGAATGAATCCATCTGATTTTAATTAAGACAGGGTATGCCAGTTTTTAATATGTCAAAAATGAAACAAAGACTGAGTCTGTGATAATTAGAATAGATTGCATGTCTTCACAAATCTGTGCAGAAGAAAAATCATAAAAAACTTGTTAAATATTTTTCACTCTGTATCCGCTTCCGTTTTGTTGTGGGCAAGGTCCCTGCATGAAACAAGCAAATATTAGAAACATGATTTTATATATATAATCAAAAATAATGATAAGAATGATTACCTTTGAGCTCTGAACCACCTTGAAAGCTGATACAATTGCAGCGTCTCATTGGAGGCATGGCACAGAAGAAGATGTGGGTTATGGGACGTATCACCCAAGCAAACCTCATGAACAATGCAGAATAAACACACATAACTGCATATTACCATTTATTAGTTTACATCATTAATTTCTAAAATAAAATGGATATTCAATCCAAAACTTTTCATCAAACAAGTCATTAGCAATTAACCTCCAGTCATTTTGCCAGATATTGTTTCTGCTGGATTCTTCATGTCCATTGCTGCCTGATAAATAATACTTTTACGTTTATTCTAATTATTGTAAAACAAAATTGTCAATTTGATTTATGAATATATCCATATACATGATTTTAAGTGTATTTTTATTTTTCGAGAATGTATAACTTTTCTTTATAATTTGTGTTGTTTGTTTTAATTAACGATAAAATCCTAAGACTTGACTATAAATAAAATATAATTAAAAATAATAAGGCAATATATTTTTGAAGAAGTGAATTTGAAGTTGGATTAACGAAATACCGCAAGAGGAAGGGACCAATTGAAGGTAGGACCCCAGAAATGAGTGGATCTGAGGCCAGTGGGACTGTTCCAGAACGACCGAATGTAGTTCATCTCTTCACCTTCTCTTCACTGTATATTGTATCCTGCATTGTTCAAAATTAAATGTCAAACTTTTTTCTTTTTTTTTTTTAAGATGATTTATTTGTATTATTTGCATAGATGAGGAATGGATGGATCACATTCATCAAGAAAGTTTCCCTACTGATCTACCCAAAAAATCAAGCCTTTTTGTTTACAGATATTGTGAAAAATTTAGATGTTCTCACGCCTACTGCATACTGAAGAGCAGAGAAAAGAGTTGTAATTTACATTAAGAAAAGGGTAAGAAAGCATACCTGAAAATTAGGATCTGGAAGATGAATATAAGCTTTGGTTCAGTTTCAAGTTTTAACTGCCTCACCTTCTTCAACTTGCACAAAAAAGCTATGGTGCCCGAAAAAGCAGAAGAAAGGCAATGGAGTTATGCAGAATTTGGTGAGTACGAGTCCAAACCAGACACCTACCTTCCAGGGAAAACTACCAACTTATCCTTTGGAGTTTGTAAAATGTATTGTCTATTTCTCAATTTGGCATTACCCATCACTTCTCCTCAGCTTTTCTAATATATATATATATATATATATATATATATATATATATATATATATATATATATATATATATATATATATATATATATTTCATTTTGACAATTGTTATGTGCTTAGTTAAGAAAATAAAAATAAAATTAAAAGGAGAAAGATTTATTCTTGTAAGCTTTAAATTATTGATAAATTAGTCTAATTAGAATAATCAAATAACTGAATTATGGATTATTATAAGGTCTTTGTGTTCGTTCCTCTTTATCTCTTTACACTTGCATAGTAAAATATGGATTAAAATAAATTCTTATTAAAACGATAAATTTTAGAATTTAATAGATTATATATAGGAGAAGATCTAACTTTCATACCATACCCGTTTTTAAGTATACAAATCTAAAGTAAAGAACTATTATGAAATTCATACATAAATTTGTCAAAACAAGCATAATTATAAGACAAAAAAAAAAGATAATTCGACATAATTATTTAACTTAAAAATTTATATATTTAATTGACACTTATTTCAGTACAATATTATTTTTAAAAGGACTCGTTTCTAAAGCAATAAGACATTTTTTTCTGAAATTGGAAATTTAAGCAAATATGTTTCATTCTGCATTTATTTCCTTTTCGCTCTGTTCCACCACCCTGTATATCAAACAAACAAATCATATTAGTTTGCTTAATTACTAGAAAAAGAAAAAGATTATTAATTTGAAATTAGTCTTAAAAAAAAAAAATAGTTTGAATGAATGACCTCTGAGCTCTGAACCACCTAGAGAGTTGATACAATTGCATAGTCTCATTGGTCAAATGGCATGCAAGAAGATGGAGGTTACGAGGTCGCACCACCCAAGCGAACCTCATGAAAGATGCTGAATAAACACACATAACTGTGCAAGTACAATTTTCAAAATTAAAAATTAACAAAAAACGATGGGTTTAATTTAATTACAAATTAATGTTTCTGAAACAGTAATTAATTAACCTCCAGTCATGTTGACGGATATGGTTTCCGGTGGTTTCTTTGTGTCCATTGCTGCCTGATATTATTTGAATTTAGTAAATTTGTTACCATAAAATATATTAACATTAAAAATAATAATAAAAATGGTGGAAAGTAAATATACCGCAAGGGGAAGGCTCCAGTTGAAGGTAGGACCCCAGAAATGAGTTGTTTTGAGGCCTGTGGGACTATTCCAAAAAGAACGAAGGATGTTCATTTTGTTAACTATTTTCACCTGCGTAGTTAAGACATCAAAGATTCAATTCCAGTATCTTTATGAGGTGCTTTTGTTTATTTCTACAATCTTATCTTCTCGTATAACTAAATACCGATGAAGAAGAACAGAGAAGAGAGATATATCGATCTTACTATATAACTAGCATGTAGTAAGAAAAGGGTTTGCAGAAGAATTAACAAGAAAACATTACCCGAACATCAATTCAAACTCTTTCTCTTTATCACTCTGGTTCGCTTCAACTTCAATGCCACAACCTCTTCTTCCTTAACTTTCACACCAAAAACACGAGAAAGAAGCCATTGAAGTGAATCAGAATATCCTTCGAATCCACGTATTTAAGTCCAATAAGCTGGTAGAGGATGATGGGAACCTTCGTCTTCAAATTACATCTTTGTCCTTCCCTAGTTATTGCTGCTATCTCTTTCTCCACTTGTTGGTTGACATGGTATTACAATAATTGTTTCCACAATTTTATAAATTTTTTACTTAAACCAAAATGTTATATTTTAATTTTTCATTAAACTAAAGTGAATTATTATGAATGGTGTTCATTAAACTAAAGCATGTTATTTTAAATGGGAAAGTTTTTCCGTTCTTATCGGACAACTCACGCACTCATCTTAAATGGCTGCTTAGATATAGAAATGGTGAATGAATGAGTAGGATGTGAATTGTTTATAGCAAGGTTTCGCATATTTATCTTTATTCACTACTTATAATATTATGCTTTTCTCTTCTTCAATTTTATTCATTTTGTGGAGATTGAAAAATACAATTAAATATTGAATTTTTTAGTTTTCAAAAACTAAAACCTATTTTAATAAAATGTTTTATAATTACAAAATTTGAAAATTATTAAAATCTTCTTTTACTGAAGCGATTCTCAACACGCAATCACACATATTATATATATATAAATTATTTTGAATAATGAGCGAGCTTCATATCAAAATCTTCTTAGTTCCTTTCTTAGTATTTTTTGCACGTTTTCTCATATTTTTACATTTATAGCTCATATTCTATATTTACCATAATATTACACATTATATTTTACGATCTCATGGAAAAGATGACATGAAACTTATTTTTTTTTAACTCAATTCAAAATTTCTTTGAATGTCTTAAGCAACTAAAAAGCTTGTTTTGAACTTTAGAACTATTTTTTTTTTCAAAAACCATTTTTAATATAGGTGATCTCATTTTCTAAATGTTTTAATTTTGAATTGCTTTAGAAAGTAGTTATAAAAAGAAAAATCTATCGTTGTTTTCTTTGGATATTTCATTTTCTAAAGATAATTTTTTAAATTTTGCTTTAAGATAAAAGATATTAACATCACAATTTTGAATAAAATCTATACAGGAGATCTTCTTTTAGTCAAATAATGAATGATACATGTATTGAAAAATAAAGTAATATTGAGAAGATATTGTTGTAAATTAAGGGGTATTGCAAATCAGAGCACACGTTACAGAAGACTGTTTCAGAGCACACGTTGCAGAAGATCGTTTCAGAGAACGTTTTAGAGAACGTTACCGAGAACGTTACAGGAAACGTTACAGACCCACTACCAAGTCTTCCATAACTGTTACAGACTTTCTCTTATAAATAGAGACTACTTCACACTCTTCAGAATACACCTCTCTCATCTTCTCTTCTCTGATCTTTCTGTGTTCCTGGGTTAATTTACTCTTTTGAGAGTTTCTTGCTAGTTTCTGAGATCCTCGGATATTCCGAGAAGTTCCTGTTGTATCCTGGGGGACTTGCGCAATACACCGCGGATAAGTCCTTAAGGGCAGTGATTATACACGCCTCAGGAATAAAGTTTGCTCGTGTCTCTGTCAGCTTTTTCAACAATCTTAAGGACTTATGACTGACAATACGAACACCAACAACTTCCTTCAACAGTTTTAGAATATTGGATAGTGAAAGAAAGGGAATTATGAAGTATTCATGGATCAAGGTTAGTTTTCCGATTATGATTTATGTGTGTTATTATGTGAGAATTAATTCATATATGTTATTATATGATTATGATTCATGTATGCTATTATAATCTAAACGTGAAGAGTAGTTTTATAGAATTAGTAACGTATAAAAACAACAAATTAAAATACATCTGGTACCAGAGCCATACTTATTAGATTTATGATTTTTCTCTTATGATAATTTTTAAATTATGTTTTTCCAAAAATTGAATAAAGGAATAAATGATAATCTATGTTTTAAGCTGCAATCAATTTCAAATTGAAATTAATTTCATAGCCCCTGTGTGAATGACACTGTAATTCTTATTGAAATGTGAATGACCATGTAATTGATTTTAATTGAAAAAACAAATTACGTGATTGGGTTAACGGTGAATTATATATGAAATTTATTACTGCATGTTATAATTATGATGAAAGAAAGGTAAAATTTTATATCAAATGCTATCAGCATACATCATGCAGCTTGTTCATAGAGCACACGTGTCAAACACATGTTCCTTTTTCGGATTTATTACACCAATACAACAGAAAAAATGAAAAATGCATTATGCATAATTATTTTATGTTATGGGAGAAATTATGCAAAATTATTATATGTTATGAGAGATTTTGTTTATGAATAATTAGCAATTACATGTATACAATGTATGACTTAGATCTACATATTATTTTGTCCACATATTATTTTGTACATACGTATAAGTAGAATATTATTTTGTCCCCATATTATTTTGTACATACGTATAAGAAAGGGTTGAGAGTGTATGAAACCAGTGGATCTAACCCCACTTTACATTCAAGAAAGAATTTTTTTTTTTGTGGAAAGCTAGGTCAACCTGCACCTCAGTGCAGACGTAGAATGAGAAACGATAATCCTCTTAAGGCAAATTTAGCCGAGGGAGAAGATACAATTATTGCGGTCGTTTCTCAAATATTGTGACAAATGTGAGCAAATGGGTGGTAGACTCTGATGCTACCAGACACATCTGTGCAAACAGAAGTGTTTTACCTCCTACACTAGTGTGGGGATGAAGAAGAACATGTTTATCTCGGTGATTCCAGGACAACTCCTGTCTTAGGAAAAGGAAAAGTTATTCTAAAACTCACATTTGGAAAGACTCTGGTCTTGAATGATGTGCTACATGTGCCATTAATCAGAGCTAATTTAATCTCTGTAGCACTATTGGAAAAGTTGGGGTTAAAGTGTCATTCGAATCTGATAAGATTGTTATGACAAAAAATAATGTATTTGTAGGAAAGAGATAGTGTGACCAAAGCCCTTGGTTGTTAATGAATGTTATTCTTCCGCTTATAATATTGATTCATATGATCTCGTGACATTTATAGATGATTACTCTAGATAAACCAAAGTATACTTAATCAAGAACTCTAGTGCACCAAATAACCTCTAAGAGAAGATACACTTACAGTGTGTTTTTTAAAACTGGTAAAACTCTCTACGAGTTATGGAGATGTTATAAATTTAATCTTAAATATTTAAGAGTGTGGGGGTGCCTAGCTAAGGTAATGTTACCCAATCATAAGAAAAGGAAAATAGGTTCTAAAACTTCTGATTGTATGTTCTTAGGCTATGCAGAACATAGTGCTGCCTATAGGTTTTTTGTCCTCAAAAGTGATATAATTGAGCATAATACTATAGTGGAAAAAAATGTTAGAGTTCTTTGAACATATTTTTTCTCTAAAGGTTAGTGAGACACCTAAACAATATATATATATTAATAATGATAAAATATATGAGGATTTGAGGAGAAGTAAAAGACAGAGGAAGGAAACCTCCTTTGGAGATGATTTCTACACTTATCTAGTTGAAAATGATCCAATGAGTTTTTTAGAGGCTACTAGGGCTCCTGATGCAATACATTAGGATAGGGCCATTAAGACTGAAATTGATTCAATTAAGAAAAATAATACTTGGACTTTGGTAGATTTGCCTAAAGGAACAAAACCTATTGGTTGTAAGTGGATCTTTAAGAAAAAGTATCATTCTGATGGATCCATAGATAAATATAAGGCAAGGTTAGTAGCAAAGGGTTTTACTCAAAAATCCAACATTGATTATTTTGACACCTTTGCCCCTGTGACTAGGATTTCCTCTATTCGAGTTTTGTTAGCTCTAGCAGTTATCCATAAACTAGTTATACACCAAATGGATGTTAAGACAGCCTTTTTGAATGGTGAATTAGAGGAGGAAATTTATATGACTCAACCTGAAGGGTGTGTTGTTCCAGGTCAAGAGAACAAAGTGTGCAGACTTTTAAAATCTTTATATGGATTAAAACAAGCACCAAAACAATGGCATAAAAAATTTGATAGTGTTATATTTTGTAATGGTTTTTCAACTAATGATGCTGATAAATGTGTGTACTCTAAATTTGAGAGTGGTGAATGTGTCATTATATGTTTATATGTAGATGATATGCTAATATTTGGTACATGCATTGACATTGTCTCCAGAACTAAGTTGTTTCTGGGATCTAAATTTGAAATGAAGGATATGGGTGAAGCCAATGTGATTTTGGGTGTTAAAATCATAAGGAAGGGCGATAATATTTTTCTATCACAAGAACAAAATATTGAGAAACTTCTTAGGAAGTTTGGGTGTTATAACGCCAAACCAGTGAATACCCCTTATGATGCTAACTCTAAATTAAAGAAAAATAGAGGAGACTCAATCTCTCAACCTCAGTATGCCCAGGTAATTAGGAGCTTACTGCATTTAATGAGCTTTTCTAGACCTGACATTGCTTATGCAGTAGGTAGACTGAGTAGGTACACTCAATGTCCTAATCAAGAACATTGGAATGCACTTACAAGACTTATGAGATACTTAAGAGGTTCAATGGATTATGTCATTGAATATATTGGATTTCCCGCTGTACTAGAAGAATACAGTGATACTAACTGGATTTCTGATTCAGATGAGACAAAATCCACTAGTGGCTATGTATTCACACTCGGGGGTGGTGCGATTACATGGAAATCAGCCAGACAAACAATTATTGCAAGATCAACAATGGAATCTGAATTTGTTGCTCTCGAAATGGCTGGTAGTGAAGCTGAGTGGTTGAAAAACTTCTTAGTAAACATTCCATTAGGAATGAAACCAATCCCGTCTGTATCAATACACTGTGATTGTCAATCGGCAATAGTTATAGTAAAAAATAAGAACTATAATGGAAAAAACAGACATATACAGTTGAGACATAATTTAGTGAGCTGCTAAAGAATGGAACAATCTCCATTGACTATGTGAAGTCAGAACGGAATCTAGCAGATCCTCTGACAAAACCCTTAGCGAGAAATATGATTTTAGAAACATCAAGGGGAATGGGCCTTAAGAAACTTGCAAACAAACAGGTGATGGTAACCCAACCTTTGTGATTGGAGATCCCATGAATAAGGTTCATATGGGTAAAAACAAGTCACTTGTTAGTTCTGCTAGCACTAAAATTGATTAAAATCAATTATGTCCATTCCTATGGTGTATATGTGAAAGTGCTAGATACTGCATTATTGAGAGGTTAAACTTTGTAATTAAAATTCTATGTGGAGTACGAATTTTAGTGTAAACAAAGTTTTTAAACGATTTCATATCCCTTAAGAGTGGTGTATGATTTGCAGCATACGCTTGATGAAGTCACCTATATGAGTGTCGAGTGGGGCCGCTTGTATGAGATCTTTGCAAGATTTCTAGAGCACTCATGAATACCGGCACGCGCATGACCTAGTAAGCGCAACACAACGATAACGAGCAAGAATTGTGGGGTGTATTGTGATTATTAAAACCGCTAACACACATTAAGTGTTTTGATTCATATAGCTTGCTACACCAACTACACTGTGTGTTAAGTTTTTTTAGTCTAAGACTGGTTCATATAGCTTGCTATACCAGCTCTGATGCATTACATCTTATATGACACCCAGGATTTCTTCTTTTATTTCTTTTATCTCCTTTTGTTTTACAATATGTGGGGGATTGTTGTAAATTAAGGGGTATTGCAAAACAGAGCACACGTTACAGAAGACTGTTTCAGAGCACACGTTGCAGAAGACCGTTTCAGAGAACGTTTTAGAGAACGTTACAGGAAACGTTACAAACCCACTACCAAGTCTTCCATAACTGTTACAGACTTTCTCTTATAAATAGATACCACTTTACACTCTTCAGAATACACCTCTCTCATCTTCTCTTCTCTGATCTTTATGTGTTCCTGGGTTAATTTACTCTTTTGAGAGTTTCTTGCTAGTTTCTGAGATCCTCGGATATTCTGAGAAGTTCCTATTGTATCCTGGGGGACTTGCACAATACACCGCGGATAAGTCCTTAAGGGCAGTGATTATACACGCCTCAGGAATAAAGTTTGCTCGTGTCTCTGTCAGCTTTTTCAACAGATATTTCGGGTTTAGAATTTTTGGTGATACTCAATAATATTTTCAAGTACTTATTTGATTTTTTTTTATGTATAATTATTTTCTTCTTTTTAAAAGAAAATTGATTAGAAAGAGTTAACACCAACAAAACATAAGTTCAATCCACATTTATAATAAAATTTTATATTAAGGAAAAAATTTCTAAAATTTTATTTGAGAAATCAAAACAATAAAATGAATTATAAAGAAAAACGAATATATTAAAGTTATATAACAAATATATTATAAGGACAACCAAATATATTAAAACTTTAATGTAATATATAAAATAAATTAAATCAGACTAATTGAATTAAAAATTAATTAAAAGATATAATTTCATTTAAAACTCATTTATCCAATGCTCAAACCAAAATCAAATTAAAATCAATATAATGAATTAACTAAACTTGTTAGATTAGAGTGCCATATTTATCCATCCTAATATCTTGGTGGATCCTATTGTGCACCGTATTAACAACATTTATTTAAGAGTATTAATAACTTTCTAGATTAACATAACTTGTGTCAACTAAAATAAATAGAAATTTTCTGAAAGATTCATTCTCTTTTAAGAAGCAAAAGTTATTGGTTTTCCAAAAACAAAAATCCAAAACTGTGATCAACATGGCTGTCATATAAAGAAAGTAGATAGTGATATTATTTTAACTAGTCCTATTCCTCCAATCATTTCTTTTTCTAGCATCTCTCTCAAACATATGGGAGTGATTCAAAACTGAACAAACATTGGAGCAAAAGAGATTTAATTAATCTCCCCTAAAAAGGACAATGTTTGTATCCAATGGTGTGGAGTGGGAGTAGTGGAGGGAACAAATTCTGATATTATATAGTTTTCTTGTTCTTTCCCTCTTCAACCAACTTGCTAGAAATAGACAAGTGCAATGCATTTATGGTAGGCTTGTCCTGGGGCAGTTGCATGTTTCAATTTAATATTCATGAAACCAAGAAAATAAATATCCACCTCAGTGACCACTTTCAAACATCTTGAATAGATAAATAAAAAGGCTCAAGGAAGCTCAAACAAAAGCCACCCTTCCACCTACCAATGCTAACCAAGAAGAAGCTACCATTTTCTATTTTCTATTCTCAACATTGTGAAATATATCATATAAGCAGAGTTTGGCAAAGTATGTTTTTTTTTTAACTGGACTAAATTTTGTTTTTGGTAACAAATTCTTCTTTATATACATTTTCAAGAAGTGAATTAGCTATCTACTAAGTTGGAACTTCCTAGTGATTATTATAAAGAAACAGGTCTAAACTTCAAAAACCTTTTCAGAAGTTTTAAGTAAGCATTAACATTTGCCAAAATGTGATAAATTTGAAGTTCGGGCTTATCACTACCATATTGAAGTTTTTAGCTTTGCCATCGCTGTACAGAGTAACTTGTGGGAGAGATCCACAAGTTTACCAAAGTAAGACTAAAACATAATGGCAAGTAATGCTGTACCCAATTAAACATAAGAATAATATGAAAAGGAGATAAAGAAACTACAACAAATAAATCTACCAGAATCCTATCAATTTGCTATTTCTATATCACCTTTGATATCTACCTATGTAATTTAATAGATCATTAAATCAAAAAGTTTGGTCTAATTTTGGGAGTTTAGAGATTGCAATATCTCCATAAGCTTCGTTTTGCTCCACATCTACATAGCCAGTAGTTTTCAGAACCTGAAAAGCATTAGACAGAAGACAAGGTTAAAATCTTTTTCCCACTAGCAAGCAACTTCAGAAACAGCATTCTCATATTTTGGTTTGTTATGAGGTACATGTCATGAATCATGAGTAACTGTGGTCTTACATTAAAAAAGTACTGTTAATAAAAGGTTATTCAAAGTATATCATTGTTCTATGACCAACCAAATGGACGACTACAATTTCACTTTTTCCTATTATCATCACCCAGATAAAAAGTAGAGGTGACAATTATTAAGAACAGATTTTCATCCTTTAAAGTTGAAAAGAATGTCATCTACAGAACAATAGTAGTAAAGGCAAAAAACACAATTCAGATTTCTGCACAGAAAATGAAGATAGAAGTTTTTCATAAGAAAAACAGCCACCAAACTTTTCATAAGAATGAACATAATCTTGAAAAAAGTTTAACATATACCAGTACTTCATAAAATAGCCTTGCCCCTTCTTTGCGTGCTCGACCTCCAAAAACTTTAGAGAAGTTTAGCACACTCTTCTCTTTCTGATTCCTTGCTGGTAGAAAACTCTTTTTCAAGTAATTTGCTACAACTCTGAACATCATCAAAGAACACCATCATAAGTCAATCTTATAAACAATAATTGAGTTATTGGTATTCCAAAAGCAAACTACCATCTCACCTGGTTCGATCAGACCACCCAGCTACTGTAAAGAAAATAAATAAAGAAATCATGCACTGTTCGGCAAAACAATTTAACAAAAATTATAACAATTTATGGATGGAGATTTGCAAGAGTTCTCACATTTTGCATTATCTGCCTCAAAAGAATTTATTTCCTGAGACAAACATAATAAATGCAAGGACACATCAATTAGATCAGAGTCCAAGAATAAGGAGAAAAAAAAAAAACTAAAGAGGGACTTCTTCATAAAAAATAAATACACTCAAGAAAAACTTAACATTCCAAGAAATGCAGTACATATACGCCTTCTTCTAAAGTCGATTGAGGATTTATCTTTTCTTTTTCTTCAGCAAAGAGATTTAATGGGATAAGATTTTTGTTTTGTTCAACAATGTGTGAGGTATGATGATATAATAAAACCTGGAGTACTACTAAATAAAGGGGAAGCAAATTGAATCCTACGAGATAATATGGAGGAAACTAATCCTAAAAGATAATCATCAGATTTAAACCTAGAGTAATAAACCTTTTTGGCAGCAATCCACTAAACCTAGAGTACTAATCATAATCCTAAGTAAATGGGAAAAATATAAAATCCTAAGAGATAATGTGGAGGAAACTAATCCTAAATGATATATAAGATATAATCAAACATAAAATTGGAAATATGTTATATTTTTGTATATTCTAACAATCTTCACCCTTTGTCATATAATCTGAAGGTTCATACTAATTGGTGGTTCCTAGATTCAACAGAAATATCAGTTTTCTTGAGCGGAGCGGATACAATTGTGATGTGTTGATAAATACTCAGTGTGTCAGTTAGAATGTCGAAGAGAAATGTCATTATTTATTTATTCTTTACCTCATCCATCAGACTAGGAAACTCATTTTCAAGTGTACTCGAAGGATATGTTTGTGGAGCAGTTGGTACATGCTTTGGGATGTCAGAAAGCAGAGATTCAAATACATCTAACATCCTTGGAGTTTTCTCTATTTCAACGGAATCTGACAATTGAGGAGGGCTTCGCGGAGTGGCAATAGTTGGAGACCCTAGCACAGCTAAGTTCCCTGAAGTTTCCATAATCTTAAGGGAATCAGGTAATTTTATTTTCTCTTTAGAGAATAGGAGTTGAAGCTCTGAGGAACAACCTGGAGGAAATCAACATTGTAAAGATAGAAGAAATTACAAACAAAAAGAAAAAGTGATAAATCAAGCTTACAAGGAAGCAAAGGCTCATAGAATATATCAGGATGACAGGAAATGGGAGATTCTCTATTCCAAGCAAGTGAAGTACAATGGTATTTTCTTCGTTTACGAACTATGTCTTCTGTACTACGTAACCTCTTCATAATTACCCTGAAATGGTTCAAAATGTAACACTCTATTGAGGACAATGCCAAGATATCCACGTCCAAATAAGAACTAAACTAAAATTTTATCATGAGTGGAATACCTGTTATCTCATTTACTAGATCACATGAGCTACATGTAAATCTCAATCGGAAAAGAAAAGAAAATAGTGTCTGAAACCAATGATTGGAGGGATTTCCCATAGAAGTAAAAAATTCAAGTAAATGGGCCTAATTTTATGGTAACAATTGTTTACAAAATATTTCCTAAATAACAAAATGGAATTTTTCTCACCACTCTTCAACAATAAGCAAATTTTCAATTAGGTAAAATACAAACCTCATATACTTAGGACACTTATATTGATTAAAATGTGAATGGACATATTATAGTTTATCAGCTAGATAATAACTTCAAATTCTAGATACATGGAGCAATCCTTTCCCACTAGTTTATGCATAAGAAAGCAGGTAAATAAGCATTGCAGTTTTGAATAGAGAAAAAGGAACGATTAAAAGAAGGGCCATTAGAATATTTCCTATAATTATTATCACATACTTGTTAGGCAGGACAATCTTCTTTTGATCAAGAACAGCTCTTCTTTTCCTTGAAAACTGAGAGTGGTCTCTCGCAGCTGGTGTAGAAATAAACATTGACTCTGGTGTAGTAGCACCTGCCAAAATACATTTTTAAGAAAAAAAAAAAGATTGAAGTAAGATAATGATCTTCATGCTGGACAAAAAGAAATAAAAATATTCAACCATTGCATTTTCAAGGTGTATGCAGAATAATGGTTTCACGAACCATGTTTTGGCATTCCAACAGAATCATCTCGAAACTTAGACTGAGGAGTTACTTCTAGATTTTTTGATTTAGATGGAGTAAAACTAAGGTTTTCATCTTCAAGTGAAACCTTTTCTCGAACCCCTAATTTGCGGTTGCTATAACGCTTTTCAACAGCCCCTTCAATGTGCTCTTCATGGATGTCATTGGCAACAGATGAATTGACATGGTACACACATTCGTTTTCATGGGATTTTTTATCTTGAGGATTTTCTATACTTTCTTCCAAACTTCTGGCTACATGAACTTCAATAACTTCCTCATTCATGTTGCATAATGAGCTAAATGTTTCCTTGGCAGAACTCTGGGCGGTGTCAACTTGACGATATTTGGTAAATTCTTCCACAGATAACACATGTTCCTCCTCTCTCCCACAAAACATATTGATGTCAACTTGAGAGATTCTACTACTTTCTTCATTTATTTCATCATCAGTTGGTACTATGTCTTCAATTATCTGTTCTTCAATAATTTGTTGATCTTGACCAGACAAATTGACAGATTCTTTTTCTAGTCCCTCTACTATTAAAACATTGTCCAAGTTCATTGGTTCCATCAGAGAAAACATGCTGTTTTCTAATGTATCCCTGCTTTCTGGTGAACTAACTGGATCAACTTTAATACCCATCATACTCAACAGTTGACTTAGATGAGCGCTGCCAAGTGTATTACACATTCAAATATGTTCAATGAAGAAGATACACAAATTTTACGGAATAAATAAAAACAAAAAAATCAAAATTTTAGTAGTCATACTTTCCCACTTTATCGCGATCAAAAGAGCAGGTATTTTCATTGATATCAAACTCCTCAAACTGCATAGTAAAAGTAAGACACTTAGGATGTGCAGAATCAAGAACATAAGATTAGGGTTTGTTCTTTCTATTTTAAGTAAATTTAAAACTATCAAGAACATGAAAATGTCCTCCATCAATAAGCCTGTAACATAAGATGGCTACAATAAGATGGAATTTAATTTAACTAGCTCATTTGGTGAATCATTGATGATTGGGATTATAAAACATCTTGCATTGAGGGTGGCAAAATAGGGAGAACTCAACCAGTCAACTTGTCAAACTAGCGGAGGTGATTTAACCTAGGAACACACCAGCCCACCAATGGGTTGGCTTGTTTAATCCACCAATATTTAAGAGTGGTATTTCCTTTCTAGTATTAATTTAACTTACATTAAATTTTTAATTAATTATATTTATTAATATCATACATATATAAGAATTACTCATTATATAGTATAATATAACATGAATTACTAGCAATTCCCCTCCATATCAAAATTATTTTGGCAGGTCAACTCCCTTTGCCACCCTTACCCTGCATACTATTCCAAACAATTATGGGTATACATCGTCTACAGTTATTGTACAATTTTATTAGTTAGCATCATATTTATCATTTTACTCTGTTGGTAAAGATAAGCTCAAGTATATTTGGTACAAATTTATGCCCCATTTTTATTCTATGGATGTTCCAAAACCTATAAAGCCCTGATACTTCAATTTGCTTCTCGTATCCGATACGTATTGGATATTTCACCGATACTTCACACTGATACATATCAATGAAGTATCCAAACCTATGAAGCATCAACACTTTTATTTGTTTTATAAATAATACTTTTAGATAGTTTACTGATGTGTATGTTAATTAAATGTCAAAACTTTTAAATCATTTATAAAAGTTTAAGAAACATATGCCTATCTAAAAAATAGAAACATATACATATTATTTTTCATAAACCAAAGAAAAAAATTGTTTTTATGAAGTATTTTAAGTAATTAATGACACTAATAGTCTTATTCCTATATGTAAATAACAAAAAATATTTTATAACGATAATTATTTATATTTTTCATTTTCACCGTATCTAAGAAATGTGATTTGAATTTGGATTTGCATGATTGTAACTTTATAGTTACTATATTTGATGAATTTTTTTACATTTTTAAATACGTATCATATCTTTTTTTTTTAATAAACAAATCGTTGTATCAGATACGAATCGTATCTGATATTCGTATTGTACCCATGCATCATAGTCCAAAACAAAACATCATTAAATCTTGTCTACCTAAGTTTTCACTTTAACATTATTTGGAAGAGATGAAAAACAAAAAATAAAAAAGGAAAGACATTGAATTCAATTAAAAACCGAGATAACTTTCTCATATGAATGTAAAGGACTAATTCACCTAAAGGTTAAGTTTTAAGGTGATGCCCAAGCAAAATAATATGTCCGATGTGCATTGCTTGTACTACATAATCAATTAAAACCATACAATGGAACTCCATAAATGAAACTACTTATTAACCAGCATGTGATTACCAATCAATGAAAGATAATAGGTCAAGTTTTAAGTCATAGTTTTGTATTATGTTAGTAGGCTTCTATTTTTATTTTATTTTCGATCTCACAGGTATATGCATGATAGTTATAGTGATATATATAGGCTATGTGATAAACTTGAAGACTGCAATTAACTTGTCAGATCGTCATTTTGAAGTTTTGAATGTCAAAACTCCAAGTTAAAAGCAAACCCTGGGTTTATTGATGTTTGAATTGTTAAATAATCTGACAGTGGCACAAAGCAGCTAAATCTGAAGATGCTAACCAGGATAGCAAGAAGCGCCATGACCCCTACTTTAAATATTAGAATACAGACTACATAATTATACTATGGGAGACACTGTCGAAAACATTTGAATAATTTGGAGATGAGAGAAAGGATCTACACTTTGGATACAATTCTACCATTGTTGAAGGATTTGTCTGAGAAGAAAACGCCTATCAATGGATAAACACGATGGAAGAAGTTCTAACCATGCTAGAACTAGTCAACTACATATTATCAAGGTCATGTCAACACTCACTCGTCCAGCCTTGAAGATGGGGAATCAAATGTGTTTAAAAAGGAAGAGTGGAGAGTGACATTACCCAGTTTTGATGGGTAATATCCAACTGGATATCAAGGCAGGCTGAAAAGTTTTTTAATTAGTTATACTTATAAACATGGCCATTTTGAAATGCAAAAGAGTAAATCAGAAGTCAAAGTGCCCATGGGAATAATTTGTATGGAAGGGACTAATGTAAACTGGATTAGATCCCAAAGCCTTGAATTACAACAACTCACACAAACACTAGCCATAAACTCACAGAAACCAGAATGCCCAAAATGAAGAAGCAAAAGTACGTAATTTTACAGTTAGAAATCGCAAGAACAAACCTCTCAGCTCCTAGAACTGTAGGTACCATGCCATTTCACTCGTAATTGATCTTGCTATCCGCACTCTATGAGCAATATATCCTTTTCATCGTTCCCTCTGCGACAATCAGCATTCCACTATGCACAACTACACCTCTGCCTACTGCCTGCCACGCGTCCTTCTACTTCTGGAGTAAAGTTTCTGAATCATTGGGTTGTGTTGACCAAGCAATTGGTCCTCCTGCTGAACCTTGTTCCTTGGCTCTATCAACATTGGAGGTTTTCAAAATGGAATTATTGAAGAGGTTTTCTAGTAATGGAACAGAAAATCCCTACGAACAATTGCCAGCCTTGCATCAAACAAATTGTGTAGGAGTTTCAGCAGCAATTTAAAATGTTCATTGGCCAATTAACCCAGTCTCCAAAATAATTGACTTAAGGATTATTTTATGAACTATTTGAATGTGATTAGAACTTAGAAGAAAAGTGAAGGCTCGTGATCCACAAATTGTGCCCACTGTCATTCCTTTCGACACGCAAATAGAGAGCAAATTTTTTAGTTATGGTGTTAGACATAGATTCTGTTTGGTTTGGTTTTGCACGAGAACACTGGGTCTGGGCCGTCATAACACAGTGACTTTCGATTCCTAATCGAGCTCGAGAACAGCATTTTGTTTCTTCTGTAAGGGTTAAACCAGAAAGAGATACAGCGGGAAGAATTTATAGTAATAATTAACAAAAATTCATTGTTCAAAACCTGCAGCACCAGGCATGAACTTGTTAAGAGTATGTTAGAAAGAAAGAAGAAGTTCATTCTTTCAATGTGGCCAACCATTATGGTCACATCATGGGTTTCATGAAATGAAGTTAAGAATGTTTATTTTGGGAGATGAAGATAAAAAAGGTTGAATTGTTGGGACCAAATTCAAAGCTGATCTGCAAGGAACAGTTCCTTCATTTCAGTGCTAAGGCAAGGCTGCTTGTGTAACAAAGACATTGATAGGGCAAAATAAAAAATAGGCAGTTATAGCTCTGTATTAGGTATTTATTTTTATATTAATTTTGAATAAGGCAGTTGGATGTAATGTTGTGGCAGTTATATTGTGACACACTTGCAGAAGGCAACTAAGGTTTGAGGCTGTTGGTTTTGGTGTTTTGAAAGAGGAAAATCCCTTCTGGGAAAACCCTGTGTTTGTTGATTTTTGTATTAAAATCTGGCCTAAATAGAATAAGATTATTCTACATTTATTTAGAATTCAATGTGTTTATTTCTTGAACCCAACAGATACAGACCAATAAACTCAGGGAAAAGCATTTATTAGACAGAAGGTGATTTGGCATATTAGTGAAGAGCTGAAGATAAACAAAAACAAAAACATTTGCATAGACAAAATAGAAGAAACATTATTCAGGTAAGGCTTAAAGAATTGAGACACTACAATTTCAAACCTATGAAGAACTATGGAATGCATACCTTTTCTTGAGAAAACAGCCCAAATCCCCCAGTTTTACACACAACCTCTGTTGCATTTCACAGCATATTACTCAAAAAATAGAATAAGATTAAATTTACTATAAAAGTAAAATAGTGAAAGAATTCTAGTACCTTTGTCACTAATAGTAATTTCTTCTGAAGGAGCAGTATGGTCTCTGAAACAACAGAAGATACACAACGAAATGCTCAAAAACCAAAAGAATATTTTTAAGTTAAAATCTAATAAAACCTTACCTGCCAGTGTCCTCAAGCAAATCCAACTCAAAAGCATCCAACTGTAGTTTGCTCGGTATACTAACAGACATACGCAAGGTTTCCACATGGGAAAAGTCTTCTCTATTTCCCACAAATTTATTGATTTTAATGAGTATCTCATTGCAATCATCAAGTGCATATTCAACCTTTTTCGAGTATATTCTTACAATGCCAAGAAGAAGATAGCCCAGCACTCTATAGGATACAACATCCAATTCATCTTGCAAAATCTTGTCTACAGAAGGTAAAGAGAGGAAATGAAAAAAATGGCAAAACAATAAAAGCATAACATTAACCCGGATTTGACAAGGTGGATTATAAACAAAAATAAACAACATTCCTAACAATTTTTGGAACTGACAGGACCAAGGGCCATCAAACATGATCTATATAAAAGTGTTCTTACCAACCTCTAATATAATTAACCAGTTGATAAGTGTGAACAAAACTTTTTAGCCTTAAATTTTTAATATTTAACCCAGTGAAGAAAAATTAAAATGCTAAATATTACTGTTTGCATTGGTTGTTCCAAGAACACAGGGCACTAGGGTCACTTGGCCCCAAGACCTTTTCCCCTTGGGAAATATACAACTCCACACACCATCAACAAGATTAAAACATCCATCATCAACGAGTACAGAATTAGCAGAAGTTAAGAGTAAATATAACCAAGTTTATACTCTCCGTAATGCTAGATCATATATGTCATAGGCACCAAGCTTATGAAAAATAAAATCAACCCAAGGCCCATCATCAACGAGTACAGAATTAGCAGAAGTTAAGAGTAAATATAACCAAGTTTATACTCTCCATAATGCTCGATCATATATGTCATAGGCACCAGCTTATGACAAATAAAATCAACCCAATGCCTGCTATGGAGCTTATTTAATATAGCAGCTAACTGATCATTGCAATATGTAATGCAATTTGTGTTGGGTTTTTGAAGGGTTATGTGTATATGTATTTCTGATATATCATGTGTGTATATTTATTCATGTACTCTATGTATATATAGAGTAAAAAATATTACAAAATATTAAATATTCATAATATCTCAATCATAACAACCTAAATCAGAATAATAACCTAATGTCTTTTTACCTTCTCTCTTAAAAGATAATAAAATCTCTTAATACCTAATTTAAATAAAAGATAATAAAGTAATATTTCCAACATTCCTCCTTACTTTAATATCTATTTATTTGAATTTGATATATTTTTTCCTCCTTTTTTGTTTATACTTCTTGTTATTTTCTTTCTTGTAAGAGATCATATCTTCATTCTTCACTTTCTTCATCAACATATTTCTTCCTTTATCAACTTCATCTCCTTTGTTTCTTTCAAAATTCATGGTAGTACTCGTTGACTCTTTGATGGACGTTGAAAACGGTTTCTTCATCTACATCTTTATTTTCCTCCTTAACATCAAATTCCTTCAAGAAATCTTCTTCATGCTTTTTCTTTGACTTTTCTTTTATATCTTCATTTGTAATCATCTCTTCTTTCATCAAATCTAAAGTGAAACTTTTTCCTTTCATGTGAACTTTGAATATTTCTAAGTTATTTGTATCTTTAATCACACAAAGTTTGTGTTCAAAAGACACCTTATAACTTTTCTCCAATAATTGAGCAACACTTAACAAATTATGATTTATATCAGGAACATATAAAACATCAATAATCAATTTGATACCCGAATGACTTTTAACTGCAATTGTTCCTGTACCTTTCACATTCATTTCTTCTCCATTACCAATTCTCACTTTAGAAATATGTGATTCGTTGAGCTCTTTGAAAAATTTTCGATCATGAGTCATGTGGTTTGTACAACCACTGTCTATTAGCCAACCTGTGGATTTTTTTATTGTAGAGCATGTTGATGCAAGGAGAAGTACCTCTTCTTCTCTATCCTCTATAACTTGAACGACTTCCTCCGATTGTGATTTGCATATCTTTTCTATATGTCCCAATTGACCACATTTGTGACATTTCACATCGAGTCTCCACCAACACTTGTTGGGTGTGTGATTATTTTTCTTGCAATAAGGACAAACAGAAAATACTCGTGATTTTGTACCTTTGTTGTTCTTGGCTTGGACAGAACCTCCATCATGATATAATAAAGAACCTTCACTAGCAAGCATGATCTCCTCTCATCAATCTTCGTTGCTCTTGTGCTTGTAAAGCATGTAACACTTCTGCCAAAGTAATATTAGACAAATCTTTTGTGTTTTCCAATGAAACAATTGATGCTTCATATCTCTCTGGCACGCTTACTAGAATTTTTTCAACTATTCTAGAATCGTAAAATTCTTTGCCTAACAATTTTATTTTGTTAGCAATACCTAACAATTTGTTTGAGTATTCATTAATTGTCCGAGACTCTTGCATCTTTTGTATCTCAAATTCCCTTATCAAGTTTAGAACTTTCATACCTCGAATTTTCTCATCTCCTTCATATTGATCTTTCAAATAATCCCAAATTTCTTTGGGTGACTTTAGCGTCATGATTCCGTGAGGATCATTTGTGAAACACCAAGAAACGAGACATGATTTAGCTTTTGCCTTTCTCATTTTTCTTTCTCTCGTGAGATTTCATTTGAGCTATAGTGGGATTTTCGGGTAGTGGATCAACAATATAATCTTCTTCTACAGCTTCCCATACATCCAATCCTTCAAGATAGGATTGCATTCTCACAGCCCATAAGTCATAACTTTCGCCACCAAAAACTGGAATAGTGACTTGTGAAAAGTTTATTTCTCCTTCCATTGTGTCAAACCAAAGCTCTGATACCAATTTGTTGGGTTTTTGAAGGGTTATGTGTATATGTATTTCTGATATATCATGTGTGTATATTTATTCATGTACTCTATGTATATATAGAGTAAAAAATATTACAAAATATTAAATATTCATAATATCTCAATCATAACAGACTTAAATCAGAATAATAACCTAATGTCTTTTTACCTTCTCTCTTAAAAGATAATAAAATCTCTTAATACCTAATTTAAATAAAAGATAATAAAGTAATATTTCCAACAATTTGCTTGTAAACAAATCACTACCATTTCCTTATTGTCACCCAATTTGAGAGGCAGAGGAGTTGCCATAACCACATAAGTTCAAAGGTTGCTGCTATTATTGCATTATAGTTGTTAACCTTTGAACTATATCTAGCAACTATCTTCAGTTTCTCAGTTCTAATCTAAGAAGCACAGATTTTGACACAAACATCTAATACAACATGGACATTCCAACATGAGTAAAGACTAATGTCTAAAATATGGGACATTGAGACACCACACACACATATATGTAACGAAAATGAGTATCATAACAAAATATCAAAACGGAGGTGTCAACTCAAATTAAGATTAATATGCTTCCATCTATTCAGAGGTGTCAACTTGTGAATTTGAGGCAAATGGAGGTGTCAGATTCAAGTGTTTGAGTTGACAAAAAATAATTTTTGCCCAACATGATGACAATTCACATAAGGGAAGTGTTTATGCCTTGTAACTTCTGCTTAGAAAAAAACCAAAACCTCGTAGAAACATAAAAAAAAAAAACTTGATCTGATAGTAAAAACATTAAATGGGAGTAGATTATTCATCTATGATGGAAAATTCACAACATTGATCATGAAAAACTATCAAACATAAACTCACCAATGTAATAAAGACCCCCAATGATACAAGTGAAAAATAAATAACATAAACTATATATTCTTAGTGCAGAAACCATAAAACAGAATATAGAATTGGATAAAACTACAAAATTAAATAAATATAATTTTGGTTTCAAATTCATCCAGTTTAGAAATAATATTTATTTGTGGTTGATGAATAAAAACATTGGTAATTAATTTTCCTAAAGCAAAAATATTTTTACCAAAAAAACTAGTGTTTGTAATTTTCCATATAAAAATTCATTCCATTTTGACTCTTTAATTATTAAGCTCTCCAACACCACAAATTTTGTTCTTAGTCCATCTTTTATGCTAAGAGTCAGTTGGGTATGAGCTTCATAAACTCTGGATGATTTTTCATACCCCTTGTTTTATGACCAGGAATAGTATTAGCTGTAACATTCCATCTTGTTACAACTAGAATATTCTTCCACTGATATGTAGGCCAGTTCAGTCAGTTGGGTGACGGGCAGCAGAGGTTTTCTAATACAACAAACTGATTCATGAACTTTTCATCTCCATTTTGAACCCCATAGCAAACATACCATAACATGATATAGTAACCATTATCCCTGTTGATAAGTTGTAAACTATGTTTGCTGATATAGGTATCAAGTAGCATCTTGCAACACCTATACTTGCATTGCAAGCACATGATTCTAGTGTAGACCACTGTTTAGTTGTCTTTCCATTAGTATGTGACACCCTACTAGGCTATTGTTAACTTCTCCTTCCTTATATCTGTACAATCATATACTATCAATACAAATCAAACTTATTTTCACCAAAAATGGATTTTCTTTTCAACTTTCAATCAATGTGACCCGAACCACATTCATCATTACCACTATTTTTTCTCCTTAAAATTGAATACAGTTCCAATAACTTCCCCATAAAGAGCATTTAGGATCAGGATAATCACTTCATATATATATATATATATAATAGACATGCAAATTGCAAACAATCATTAAAATTGCATATTAAAGAAAAGCCACCGAAATTTCATCATATCTTAACATAACAGCTACATTTTTTGCCAACAAGGTTAAAACCATTCTGGTGAACCAAAAGCCAAAGGGTAAGTTGGGAGCAATAAAATAATTCAGAATTCCATAAACAAAAATGTTTCCCACCACTAACATTCGCTGACCAGCAGAGCTACATCAACAATTTTGCAACTAAACCCAGCTAAAACTTCTCCTTCTCCGACCAATTTCCCAAACTACTCACAAACACAGAAGAACATAAACAAACACAAAAATTCAAAAACACCCCCTCCCCCCATAACCATGCTTTGGAAAGAAAACACAGCAACAACAGAAAAACGAGGATTTCATGTCTACCAATGAAGAATGAGACATACCAACCCAAATTTTAGACATTTTTCAAGGAAAAACAAAACAAAACATCCACCATTTCTTCCAATGCTAAGGTAAAGAATGAAAAAGAAAGAGATAGAGAGAGAAGGCTAACCAACAGCAGAAGAAATGTCAGTATCAAGGACCTGAATTTTCCTGAGGTTTTTGAAGCAGAAAGCCGCAACCCGCACAGGATTACTTCCAAAAGGAAGAAGGAACTTGGCCTTCAACATTTAATTATCTTAGGTTCCAGTCCACCTTGCAAAGAGGGTGTGTCAGTGTCAAAGAATGAAAAGGAACTATGTGATGAGATTAAGGTTTTATCATGATTTTCTGCTAAGTGGAAGTTGTTTGAAGAGTGTTTGTACCTTGGTTGGTTGGAAACGGTCGACTTGCGTGCTGAGTAAGAACCTCTTCAGTCTTCACACGCCAAAAAAACCAACAGTTAACTGAAAAACACTAACATCACCGCTCTATAAATACATTAAAGTAAAAATGAAAAATGTTATTTTTTGTGTCACTACCACATAAGAAGGGGAGAGTATCCCACATTTTACCATTTTAGACATGTGCATTCATTCACTTTTTGAAACATAAAATAGAATTTATTCATTATGTTTTCTAGAAATCATAACAATTAATAATTTTTTTCTGGGTTTCATTAATATCTATACTAAAATTAATTAGAAAATGTCCGTTTTTAATTCATTGCTTTGACTAGAAAAAAAAACATCAGTTCTTTGTATTATATTATTATTCTTTTTTGTTAATTATTATTTTTAATAACATTCACTTCATTAAAAAAATTAATAATTAATAATTAATGAATTATATCATTATATTATTTACTTTTCTGTTGATTGTGACTTTTAAATATTTATTTATATAAAAATTAAGAATTAAAATATTTTATTTTAATTATGTGAATAGAAAAAAGTTGTCATATAAACGAAATTTACTCCTTTTATTTTATTCACATGATTTTAATTAATCGAAACTAGTTGTGGTCTTTAGATGCAAAAGTTTTATAGTAACAAAATAAAATGGAGCATTTTTAAAACATGAACATAGTTAAAGAATATGTTATGTTATATTAAAAAATTATTTAAATTATGAAATATTTTATGATTTTTATAACTATAATTTATCTAAAATATCAATTTTGTCTCTGAATAATACATCTTAATGAATCTCTTTAAACTTTTATTTTTTTTATCATTAATATTTAATTCATTACATCAATATAAGAAATATTAAAATTTTAAAAAATAATAAATACAAAATATTTAATGTTAAAAAATTTAAATATTTAATACTCATATTGAATTTCTCTCAAATGAATATTTTTTACATTTAATACTAAATAATTCTTACATTTAAAAACAGTAAACATTACACCACCTTAAGTATAAACAATATTTAATGTTTTATAAATTATTCAATGCACAATAATATTCAAAATAATCAATAATAAATATTTAATACACTGTATTAGTGTAAAAATACTCAATGTTTATTAAATATTTAATATTTTTATTCATGTTTATGAAAATAATTGTTTTTTATTTAATATTGGATTAATTTGTTTGTGATAATTTTATAAGATATTTAATAAATTTTTCAATTTATTTTCCTATTTATCCTTATTCAATATTATGGGTACTGTTGTTTTATATTAATGAATTGTGAGAAGTTAATTTTAAAAGTTATTAATAATGGAAGTTAATTTAAGTATATTGACAACAATTTTTTTAAATAAAATCTACTAAACTAATTAACTGTGTGTTTTGTTTATGGTAGAATTATTTTATATTAAAATTATTTTAAATATGAGAAGTTTAATATTAGCTATTTAGGAATAAAAATAAACATTTTATTATTAATTTTATATATGAATTAAAAAATTGTTTAAAATTGAAAAAAATTATTTATATAAATAATTTTAATTAAATTTTATCTACTAACGAAATATTTTATATTAAACTATTTTTATTAAAAACTTTCTATTGTTTAAAATATTTTTCAATTACTTCTTCAAGCAACTCATTATAATTTGTGTGATTATGGGTTGTATCATTCTCAAGTAATATACACTTAATTTCGATCTAATATAATTTGTGGTTTCTATGTTTATTCTACTATTTTTTATTTATTTAACAAACTGTTCTTTATATAATAAACAAATCTTAATTTGAATTAAAGTGTGATAGATTAATTCTAATGGAGATTTCTTTTATAATTAAAATTTTCAACTTAAAAACCCATAAAGATCATGCTCATAAAAATATATAAATTTCTTGGATTTTCTTAGAATTTCTTTTAAATAAATTTAAGTACAAGGTGTTTAATAACAATGTGACACAATAGAGACTACAGATTATATTTTTCAATATATAAAGTAAATTTTTCTTACAAGTTTTAACTAAACAACAAATGTTGCTTATGAATAAAGAAAAGAAAAAAATTATGAACATGAGAGAAGAGAAAATAAGTTCCATCAAGCAAATTAATTAAATTTTAAATAATTTATATTAATAAATATTATTATATAACAAAATCATGTCTAAATTAATATATATATATATATATATATATATATATATCTTAATGAGTTACTTAAAATTAAAAAATATGAAAATAAAAATAAGTTTGGTCGGATATTGATTAAATATTGTTTAAATATTGTTAAGATATTGTTAGATATCGTTAACCACAATATCAAACAATATCTTCTATTACTTTCAGTTCCTCTTTTAGTTGTTTATTGTTACTTTCAGTTCCTCTTTTAGTTGTTTATACACAAGGGAGATTAATATCAAACTCTATTTTCTCTATATTCAACATGGTATTAGAGCTTAAGGTTATTTTGAATTTTTTTTTCCTTTGTCCACTGCTGGAGCCGCCACCGCCGCTACTGGTTAAACTGATCTTCCACATCAGAAAAAAGTTATTTTTGTTACTCGATATTATTTGATAGTGTGAAAGTGCATGTCACCGTCATCGTCATTAGTGACCCACCTCTCTTTCCTAGGAACTTACCTGGTGTACTAGTTCACGTCATTGTCACCGTCATTGTCATCGTCGTCGCCTCTGCCCTTTATGACTTCTTCCGCTCCTTCTAGTACTTTCAATTTTGTTAGTACTGCATCTGATCCTTCCATCTACACTAACTATGTTAATGTGCATTTATCCATTAACAAGTTAACGGACCCTAATTATGTCACATGATCATTAAATGTCAGATTATGGCTTAAGAGTCAAAAGTATCTTGATCATCTTGCCTCGAAAGCACATACTCTCACTCTGATGAGGAAGACCGTTGGGACACCATTGATGCTCAATTATGTGTAGTTCTCAAGGGTACTCTTGATCCTTCGTTAAAACAAATTTTTCGTTCCTACGAAACATGTGCCAAAATCTGGGAACATGCCAAGTTATTATATACCAATGATACTCAACGTCTCTATGGTGTCTGTTCTGAATTTGTAGATGTTATTGTCTCTAAACATCAAGATTCTATGACTGATTATATGGGCAAAATTCATGCTCTTTTTCATGAGCTTAATGAGTTATTGTTTCCTTCCCCCAACCCTACCACCGAGATAGCACAATGATCAAAGTTCTTCATGTTAGGGGCATTACACGGACTGTTGTTCAACAATTTGGTTTGACTCAGTGTGAAACAAATCATTTTGTCTTTTATCGACACTCAAGTGTTGGATGTGTTTACTTGATAGTATATGTTGATGACATCGTTCTTACAGGTAGTGACAACCATGTTATCTCTCAGTTGAAACAACATCTCTGTCACCATTTTCAGACAAAAGATCTTTGCAAACTTAGATATTTCTTGGGTATTGAGGTGACACAGTCCAATGATGGTATTGTTATATCTCAGAGGAAGTATGTCATGGATATTTTGGAGGAAACTAGGTTGATGAGTTCAAAGTTTGTTAATACACCCATGGATCCCAATCCTAAACTTCTACCAAATCAGGTGAAGCTTATACCTGATCCTGAGCAATATAGAAGATTGATTGGAAAATTGAATTATCTTACAATTACTCGTCCTGACATTTCTTTTGTCGTCAGTATGGTAAGTCAATTTCTTAATTCTCCATGTGAAGATTATTGGAATGCAGTAATTCGTATCTTGAAGTATATTAAAGGATCTCCTGAAAAAGGATTATTATATGGTTCTAATAACCATACAAGAATTGTTTGCTACTCAGATGCTGATTGGGCAGGATCTCCTTCGGATAGAAGATCTACATCTGGATATTCAGTCTCCATTGGTGGTAACTTGATCTCATGGAAAAGTAAGAAACAAAGTGTTATGGCAAGATCCAGTCCAGAAGTAGAGTTATGGTCTCAACTGCCTGTGAACTTGTTTGGCTCAAGCAATTGCTTAGAGAGTTACAATTTAGAGATATCATTCAAATGACACTTGTGCGTGACAATCAGGCTGCTCTTCATATTAGCTCTAATCATGTCTTTCATGAGATGACCAAACATATTGAGATTGATTGCCATTTCATTTGAGAAAAGATTATGTCTGGAGACATCAAAACTGAGTTTGTTAACTCAAGTGATTAGTTAACAGATATTTTTAGATAGTGTTTAGATATTGTTAGATATTGTTTAGATATTGTTAACCACAATATCAAACAATATTTTCTGTTTATTATGTTATTTTCAGTTACTCTTTTAGTTGTACTTTAATATAAATAGATTACCCTACGTGTGATTTATACATAAGGGAGATTAATCTCAAACTCTATTTTTCTCTGTATTCAACAAGTTTAAATTGTTTTACAATGATATTGGTGAAGCTCAAATTTATATGCAAATGAGTTATTTTAATTAAAGTTGTCTTAAGCATTATATTTATTTTAAAAATAATTAGTTTTTTTATGAAGCAAATCTCCTTACATAAATTATTTTCTAAAAAATGAATTGTTTTAAAAATACTAATTTTAAATTTCGCCAAACTAACCATTAAATAGTTTGAATACTTTAATAAAGTCTTATAAAAGAAAATCATATGAGAAGATGTTAAAAATTTAAAAAGTTATTTTGAACGTGGTTATTTATGAGTATTGATTTAGATTATGGATAATAAAGTTTAATTGAAGTCCACGTTGATTATTAATGAATAATTGATGCTTAATTATTATTATTATTATTTATATTTAAGGGGAGATATTAATGAAAAAATCATTTCAAAGATTAACATGTAAAGTTTGTTGTAGTATTTATAAATTAAATTAACTAACCATATCAATATGCTACTATAATAGCATCAGTTTTTAAATTTATGTGATATTATACACACTCTAATAAAAAAACTATCTTTTTAATTGTTTTTACAATATTATTTATTATTTTAAAAAATACTAAATATTTAACAATTACATTGAATATTAAAATTAGTTAATCTAAGATTAGATTAAATATTTAATACATCACATCATATAAATTCGTTGAAAGATTTCATTAACAAAATTATATCTTTTCAAATTTGTTTCATTTCCAACACAAGTAGGGTTCATTGTTTAAAATTAATTATTGAATTTATATGATTTTAAAGTTTTTGAAAATAAGGAAAATGTCTTAGTAGTAGTAGAAGGTTTGGTGAGAGATGTAGAACTTGAAATACAAGATCATTTTTTGGTTCTTCTAATTTATTTACTACGTGACAAGTGCTATGAAGTTCTTGGTGCTTCTCTGTTATGAACAATGAGACCTCACATTTGTAATTATAGAAATTTAACTTTACAGTTCTATATAGGGAATTGACCCATCGCTCTCCATGGAGAGCATATTATTTTAGCTAGTGAAGCTCAATTTCACCAATTGAGAATGCTACAATAAACACATGTTAAAAATCCTCCCTAACCTCAACATCATTGGCTAGATATTGCTCCTCCTCAATTGGTTATTTTGTTGCCTATTGTAGGATTTGGTTGTTTCATGTGGGTTATTGTCACCTAATAGAGTCTATAATCACTTTATACCATTGATACATGGTGTTGGACTTGTTAAGGTTAGACCCTATAAATACCCTCAAAGTCAGAAGCAACGAACTTGGAAAATTGTCTAAGATATGCTGGAATGAAGACATCACTATTCTTGATAAAAGTACTTTCTCATCCTTTATCATCTTAGTAAAAAAGAACAATGATACAATGATACCTGTTATATTGAGTATAGGATTTTGAATATTATTTCAGTTAAGGATAATTTTCCTATATTTGAGGTGGATGAAACAAGTTTTTTCTATGTTGGATCTTAAGTCAAATTACTATGAAATCTTGGTCAAAGAGGACGACAAAGTTTGATGATTGAATTGTTTTGAGGTTTGTGTTGAAGAAGTATGTTTTGATAATTTTTTTATGACATCTTGATGTAAGTCCTTCTAATTATCTGATTCACAACCCTTGGAATTCGTGTTTAGGGTTCACCACCAACAGTTTTTTTAAAATGCTTATTGTATTGTTTTTAGTGAGAGTATGGCTGTGGATTACACAAGTTGTGTTAGATTGACTTACTCATTCTAATTTCAAACAATTAAGGAGATTTTTGAGACTTATTGGTTATAATTACAAAAGATTTATTAGAGGGTATACATTTATAATTTCTTCTATAAAAACTTTTTAAAAAAAATGAATGAAAAGTGGAATAAGCCATTTTAATGCGAATTACCTAATGCTAATTTCTGAAGACGAAATGTACCCACAAGGTCTTAGTTTGGAAAAAAAGGATGTACAACCGTTTTGAGATCAAAATCTTTACAATAAAAAGCAGCTTAAGTACTTCGAGATGAAGTGCTACTCCAAACACCTATACATCCTACGATATCGACATTAAAAAAAACTACCACTTAGACTGATCTCTGCTTATGAAAAATAGCCTCTTTGGTTACAAGTTTAATACCCCTCACCCAAAGCTCAGCACCTTCTAATCCTCCATCACATACAAAATGCACTTCTCTGTTCTTGTTAGTAAGCACCCTAAATGTTCCAGCTTCATCTGCATCACCTTTCTTGTACCTATTTCTACGTAAGGTTGAGCTTGCTCCTAACTCTACCTCACTGCAAATCACATTTCTCCGGCTTGATTTACCCCAACACAGAACACCAGCAGAACCCAACATCCGCATTTGTTTCCCATGGGGAGAACCCTTCCCACTTTTGGTGTGCTTCAGAACGCAGGAACCACCTAATACCAATTTACGAGCAAGTTCATCGAGTATAACAGTTTCTGCATCGTTTTTACCTCCAGAGAATGTCCTTGCTAGATAAAGTGCAGTTTCCCCTCGAGCATTTTTAGCATTACAATGAGCACCGCATGAGATTAGAAGCTCGCAAACGGACGCATGGCCTTCCCTTGCTGCTAACATGAGTGGAGTAAAGTCCTCCCCATCTGGGGCATTGACATCATAACCTTTGCTGGTGAGCAACGTGACGGCATCCAAGTCACCACGACGAGCTGCGCGATGTAGAGCGTAGAATCCACCAGCATTGATATTGCCCTTTTCAAGCTCATATTCAAGCATGACCTTTTCGAATAGATCACAGTTCTGATTCATTTCAGATAGGGTTATTGCTGTTTCACCAGATTTATTGCACAATTTCACATCGGATCCAGCATATACCAGCAATCGAAAAGAATCCACGTGCCCCTTTGAAGCAGCGTGCATAACTGCAGAGAAACCACTATCATCTTGATAGTCAAGATCAAATTCTCTAGATTCAATGACAATTTTCAATGCTTCAGTATCCCCAGATTGAGCTACAAATATTAAAGGTGAAAAAGTGGTAGTATTGCTGGATTTGGGTATCTTGCTGCTTTTGATTGTATCCAACACTGCTTGTTGAAAACCAATTGACCACTTGTTTGACTCAGAGAGTGAACTCGCAGATTGACCAGCAATATTCACCAAGCCAAAATCAGCACCAGCCCTTGTTAGTACGTTGAGACACTCCTCTTGCTTAAATTTTGCACAGATCATCAAAGCTGTGTCGCCATAGTCTGTTGTGGAGTTCAAATCACAACCAAAATCAACAAGGCATTGAATAACTGTCGGTAAGCCTAGACGAGATGCCATGTGTATAGGAAGGAACTGAGTCTTGCTGGTTGTTTTAACTGGGGATTCGACATCTTCACCGCATTCTAAGAGTACCTTAACAGCCTCAACATTGCCACAGAGTATGGCATGGTGTAGAAGGGTCCTTCCACGATGAGGTTTGGAGGAGACATGCTGCAGGAGCTTGCGTATTATAGAACCACTTCTTTCAAAATACTCAACTGCACACCAGGTGATTCCATAAGGTTCTCCCAGCCCAGCACCCACACGAAGCTCTTCACCAGTGGAAGTGTCCCATGACCATGCTCCAAGTCTCACTTTGAGGTCTATCGTAGCACCATTCTGTATTGTAAGAAAGTCCTAGTAAGGCTCATTTCACATTAACAATAAAATCTAGAAAGTGAATAGATTAGTTGTCACGATAGCTAAAATAAACCAATAAAATACTTAATTTAACCATGAAAACCTGTGTAGAGTGATGATGAACATAACCTTCGGTGTTTAAATGAGGTACGTCGTGTTATAAAATCACATGGCTTCTTAATTCATGTTATATACATGGATGTTATTTTTGATAAAATGTAACAGGTTATTAAAAAGTAACAGACTAATAGTTCTTCACAGAGGAATGTTGATTGCAGCAAGAACTAGGACTCATCATATATGTGAAATATTCTCATTCACTAAACCAAATTGAAACAATAACCAAAGGTTCGAAAGGGGCAACGATTACCTGCAGTAGCAAATCAACAACAGGAACCTGCCTGTGAATTACAGCTGCAACCAGTGCAGTACAATCCACATTTGTGTGGAGAGAAGGCTTAAGTGACTGTAAAAGCACCCGATCTGTTGCACCCGCATCCACACCACACTGCCATTAGAAATGAAAAGAAAATTTGAGTTTAAGATGGCTCTTGAATTGAAATATTCAGTGGGATGAAGTCAGATGAACTACAAGAAGAAGAAAATTCATCCTAGAAGTTTCCTCTTGCAAAAGGAAAAGACAATTGAAATGTTTGAGGAAGTTTTATGAAAGTCTAACAAGCATGGCAAATACATGAAAGTTTAACAAAATTATTATAAGGCCTAAACATGAGTATGATATCATACTTCAACAATTTCAATCTCATGAGAAAGAGCAACTTGACCCCTTCAAGCGGATCCCATTCATCTTCACCAATATTCAACACTTTCCTTTCATTCTCTTTATAACTTTTCTTTTATTAGAGGAGACGAATATTTGTATATATAAAAACTAAATTCCAACTCTTTTAGAGTTAAAGTGTTAAAGAAAAGTCTCTCGTTGCTTATCTCAATTCTCCAAATATAACTTACATATATGTTATTCATTTAATGTCAATCGATTTTAAACTAAAATCTAACACGATATCAAAGCCTTTTTAATATTGTCTATTATAACATACATCTTTTTAATTGAGGGGAATGTGAGGAAAGTCTCTCATCATTTATCTTAATTATGCCAGTATGACTTATATATTTACTAATTGGTTTTAAGATGAAATCTAACGTTAAGCCTGTTTCTCTTCATAGAATGAATAAATGAATATGAGAAATCTGATGAAGATGATGGTTTTGAAAAGAGTTTCACTACAATTTATTGAAGTTCAGAAATTACAGCACCATACATGACCCACCATTTATTTGGTCTCAAATTTTCTTATAAATGTTCATGGTACATATTCTATACCACGAGTACCCAATGAGTATCGGATTCGATACAGATTCAAGATAATTTGAGGAGTATGAGTATCCATGCTTAAGAGTGTACCAGCAATCATGCATGACAAATGATTTCCTTGATAAGGACCTTTGGGTTTAAAAGAACCTAATGGCAGGGGATAGAGATGTAACTCCACATGTCCTATCTTCTTAATCCTTAGTATAATATACTCAATCAAATTATTGCAAATGCTATTATAGGACTATTCTACGTATATGTTGAGGGATCCAATTATAAAATCTTTAAAATTTAATTATATTCTAAGAAACTACAATTTGAAGTAAATCATTTTTTTAATCCTTCGAAGAAAAAATAAATAAATAAACATTTTAAAAAGACTAATAATAATTTTAAAAAACTCATTTTAAATTCTCGAATCTAATATTTTGGAACTAAAGTTATATTTTTCAAATTTTTGAGTACCAAAATAAACTTTTTTATCACCAAAAATATAACTAAGTCAATCTCTAAAACTGAGGTGCAGCAGAGCATAACACCCACCTTTATGAGCGTCTCAACAACGTCTACAAACCCCCTGCAGCTTGCGGTCACAAGAGCATGTACAGCGACATAAGGGCGGATCAAATCGGAGCTCATGAGCAATTCTACACACCCTGCATGGCCATGGAAACTTGCCTCAATAAGAGCTTCTTCACATGCTGGTTGCGATGCCCCTGCTTTAAGTAAGATCTCAAGAATTTTAAAGTGACCCTCCCTCACAGCTGCAGTAGTTGCAAAGCCTCGGAAGAGTTTCTGGTTTACATCAGCTCCCACACTCTGTCATTGAAGAAAAACAAATCAACCTTTTCGTGCATGTTTGATTAGATAGTTGTTTTTTAAATAAACCAAACCAATCATTATGGCAAAACTCTACAAGATTTTTTCTTTTAATTTTCTTTCTACACTTTGGTTTAAAGCGTAGGAAAATAACATCAGGAATTTCAAATACACTTCCAACACAGTGTCTTCTACACTTCTTATAGTAACTAACTAATCCTGTTATGAATTAGCTCAAAAGATTAAATCCACAGACACAGAAGCGAAGTAGAACAAAAGATGATGTGACACAGCCAAGCCAACTCCAAGTGAGACAGAAGATAAAAGTGAACAAAATCAATCAAATGAAAAAGAAAAGAAAAAGAAAAGAATGGAAATAAAAAAATATATTTTTTCTTTTTGTTTGTGGGTGGGGCCCCAGGAGGGAGGGAGGAATCATGGTTAAATTGCAATGTCCAATGGTCGGCAACAGTATCGGCCTACAAGGGTGCAAGACAAGCTTCATGCCCAAAAGAAGAATAGAAAAAATATATAGTTTTGAAAATAAATGTCTTCATCTAAGGCTGTAAATTATGCTATCTCGTCAAAATTAGATGAAAAATATTTTATAAAAAGGTAGGGGCTGAGCAATATTTTCTACAGTATATTTATCTCCATGTACTGAAAAATTATTGACAGAGCCTGAGATATTTTTCCCAGGAACAAATTGGAACGTGTCATTTCATAGTAAGCTTGGAATGTTTTGAAAGCCTCCTAGGGATAGCAATATTCATTTGCTTTGTCGTTTCAAAAACCCAAAACTCTGAATCGTTTTTACACTCGAGTATTTTCCTACCTATTCAGGAAGAATGACAAGGGGAAAAGGATTGTTATAAATGTATACAGCGACAACGACGGAGAAAAGTGGAGTGGGGACCAACCTTGAAATTTCATCCAATAAAAAGACGAACGGGTTTCAAAATTCAAAATCAACGTTACTTTAATGCCACTTTTTCTTCTTCCCCAAGATGAAATCCATTCTCGTTTAAAAATACTAAAGATGAACAGCGTCAGGACCAGTTACCTATTTTTCAAAAATAAAAGTAATGATTAAAATAACAGAGGGAAAGATGTTTGATGTTGATTTTTGAACTTGAAATTCAATTTTGGAGTAGTTCAAACTCGAAAGAAGAGATCCACAACAACAACGTCAGTCTCAGTAATCAATCTCCCAAGTTAAAATTAACGGTTAAAAACACACGTACAGCAGATTATGTACTCGTGTTTAGCAAATAAAACAGTTCAAAATCAACGAATCTAAATATTTTCTTCCTTAAATATTTAGAAGGACAAAGAGCAATTGAATAGGAAACATTGAAGAATTAGCAGCAGTTCAAAATCAACGAATCTACATTTTTTTTTTTTTTCTTAAAAATTCAGAACTATAAAGGGCAGTTGAAATTTGAAGTGTTGAAATCGAACACGGAACAACTAGCAACAGTTCAAAATCAAAGAATCTACATCTTTTCCTTAAAAACTTAGAAGGAGAAAGAGAAGTTGAAGGCTGACGCGTTGAAAAATCGAAGCACGGAATAATAATAGAAGCACTCGGAATCAGAGAAGAGCAGAAAACGAAAATCGATAAAACAGTTTAACCAAATGACGTAGGAGTAAGCAGGATCTGAGAGAACGGCAACAAGCGTGACGTTCATTACCAGTAACTTCCTGACGAGGTCGGCGTTGGCGGCATGGACGGCGAGAAAGAGCGGCGTGACGTCGGAGACGAATTCCTGAAAGTCGAGGCGGACTTGGCTGGGGGATTCCGGGAGGAGGAGGAGGTCAGTGGCAGCGGTCTTCAACATGACAGCGCCGGTAAAGTTGACATCGACGGACGGATCGGCGATGCAGTGGAAGGCGAGGGGGAGATCGCCGGAGTGTGAGGCTTGGAGGAGACGCTGCGACACTTCGGCCTCGCAGTCGAGCGGGAACACCTGCTTGGCGGAGAACACCGTCATTGCGGCGACGAAGTTGGAGGTTGGGAGTTTCAAGTTTCTTTGTTGTTTAGGGTGGAGAAGAGGAGCATTCGTTACACTACGCTTGAACCTCTCTATCTACGTGGACGCGAGACTCGAGAGAAGGAAGTTGAAAGAGGTGAGCGCGAGGGAGGGGACACAGAGAGAAGAGAAGAGTAGGTGGGTATTTATACTAAGAAAGAGAGAAAGGGGACACGTATAAAATAAAAGCAACTATACTCTCCCCTACAAGGAAAGATAACATTTTTTCTTGTAAGTTGTAAATGTGTATATTTAATAATTTTGTTTGATGTTTTAATGTTCTATGTTTTTTTTTTCTTTTTTAAGGTTTTATCATTTGTTTCAATATAATATTATTATTTATTTTTAATTATATTTTAATGTTATTAAAATCATTACTTTATTTTTTTAAATAATTCATTTTTTTCTTCCATCAATATTTCTTTAAATTGTTTAGGAAAAGAATATATTAATATAATTAATTATATTTGATGACGGAAATATTATTGAATTATGTTTAAGGAGTACAATGATTAATATTAACTTTAAAAAATATCAATATTTGAAGATTTTTCATTAAACGGATAGATAGGGTAGAGATTAATTTTTTTTATGACAAAGAAATAAAATAATAGTGTAATTCTAAAAAAATATATATATTTATGAAATATAGTTTAAAACTTGTTTGAGTAAAAAATTTAATAAAATGGTATTTTATAAAATAAATATTAGTAAAAAGTAGTTTTTAGAAAGTTAGTTGTATAAGATGAAAATAAAGTATGTATATATATATAGGTATAATAGAATAGTGGATAGACATTTTTTTTCTTATAATATAGTTCATTCAATATGACCTAAAAGATATTATAAGTGTTTTTCGTTAATGACTAGAAAATTGAGTGGACGATGCAATATGTGTAAGAGTGTTTGCAATATAAAAAAATTGGATAGAATTTTGTTTCGGGTGAATTTTAAAATTTATTTTTTAATGTACGTACAAAATATATAGTTTAAGTATAATAATTTTGTAAAATGATAGAAAAAAAATTCTAACTTTGAGTTTACATTAAAAAAAATTAACCATTTTTTTTAAAACAAATATCTTTAAAAAAAAAATATATATATATATATATATATATATATTTGTAAAAATATGCTCATAAGTAAAATTTAATATCAAATTTTTCATTTTCTCTTTTATTTGTTGTATATTATCATTTTTTCATTGTATTTTTCTCTTGAGTGAGTTTCTCCCTCGTCTTACTGTTATCGTATTAACAAGTCATCAATCAATATTATATTTTACTCTTTTTCCTTTATTTTTTTTTTGTATTTCACCTTTATCTTTATTATTGTTCTTATCATGCCACCACATCCTCATTATCTCATAGTTTAGTAAGCTTTCTTTAAATTTATGTTGTTTAATGTGTTATGAAATATGTACTACGTATCAATGTCAACAAATTGATATTTTTGAAAATATCATATTGACTACAAATATTAACAATATATAATATATAATTTGAAAATCTCATTGAGTAAAAATATTATCAACATATAATATATAATTGGAAAGTATTGAGTTAATAAAAATAATACATTTTGAAAAGTCTCACTTCACATTGAATAAATAATAAAATTGTAATGTTATTGGCAAGTTTTATCAAATGTGACATAGAGATATGTGTTGACCCAATATGGATTACATAAGATATCGAGAAGAATAACTTTTGACATGAAGTTAAGTATCCTCATAGCATAATTACGTTGTCATGAAAAATAATGAGTTTTTTCTAACGTTAATTATGCAAGGGCATTGACTAATATTGATGCAGAGTGTATGGTGATTATACATGGACATTGGTTAGCATTGATGCAAATGTGCAGTGAAAGGAATTTTTTTATGGTGAAGTATGAATAATTGTTGGTGTAGGGAATGCAGATAAAAAGGAAGATATGTTTATTTTAATCATGGTAGAGATTATTGGGTTGATGAGAGTACATCTTAACAAGTTTCACATTTGATAAACAATGAAGTGAATGATAATAACTATATAATGGACTAAATGTTCATGATGTTCTCACCCCATCAAAAATATTTTAAGCTTGTATATGATTTTTTCTTATACCTTTTGTAGTAGAGTGTTAAGAGGTTTAGTTTAAATTCTTATTTTGGATAATATGGGTGTATTTGGGGTTAAAGGACATGGGAGTATATGTGTTGTAAAAATTTTCACATAATATTATTTCTTCGGTTATCATTAGTTAACGATTGTGGTTTTTCTCCAGTTTCGGAGTTTTTATGTTATATTCTTGTATTGATTGTTTTGCTCTTATTTATTTATTTGTAGGATAATTATTAGAGATAAAGACGATAATGTTTTTCATGACTTTTTTTTTCTATCAAGGAGAAATCCTTAATTTATAAGTCTTTTGTAAGAGTTTGACATTTCTCCATTTCTAATATGGTATTAGAATTTATCTTAATGAATTTTGTTGGTCTATTACTTATTTATTATCACGCTCTTAAAATTTTACATAAGTAGGTATATTAGAGATCCCATATTATTATATATTCTACATTTGACAATCTTTAAAAACATTAATTTGGATAACAATTATATTAATGATAGTTTTATAATCATCATTAAAGAATGAGTTTAACTATAACTAAAATTCTCCTTTTGCTCTAATGAAATTTTGTTTAATGGAGACATATTATACATTAGATATAAATATGTAAAAACATGCATATAAAATATCAAATGTTACACATGTGATAAAACTTTATTTATTCAAATGATATGTGATAAGAATATAAAAACTTATATTGAAGTATCAAATATCCTCCATTTAAAACATAAATAGGCTTATGATCGATCATGATATATGATAAGAATATAAAAACTTATACTAAATAATCATATCTTATAAGCTTAAAACATATATAGGTTTATGATTGACTATGCGTATAATTTAAAGAAAATATAATTTTCTTTAAAATTGTTATCAAAGTTTTTCTTAAAAATCTACTAAATATTTAAAAACATCATTCACTTTAAAAGTATTTAGTTAGAATCTTGGCCTACAAAGAAAAATGGCTTAAACATTATTTTTCTAACCAATGACTCCTAATAAATATCATATTAATTGCTCTTTACATATTTCAAGCAAATTTATATTGATTGATAATTATTACATTTATTATATAGTTCAAAAACTAACTAGAAGATTATGACATATCTATGACCAATATTTTGATTTATTGAAGAGTAAAACAATAATCATTCTACCTAAAAAATATTTTTGCATTTACCTATTTACAAAACTTAATGACTAGTTTATTAAGAAAATAACTTATAATGAACCTTTTAATACTAAAGTTAACAAAGTTTTAAAATTTATGAAAATCGCACTAGGTAGGGATTGAACCTACGACTTTCTGCTTAGGAAACAGACGCTCTATCCACTGAGCTACAAGCGCTTAAACATTAATGTTGTGTGCAATATAAAAAATAAAACTAATTTTTGTCTACAATTAAAAAATAATAATTATCCACGTCATTTATTATAAAATTTAATTTCGCGCCAGGTAGGGGTCGAACCTACGACTTTCTGCTTAGGAAACAGACGCTCTATCCACTGAGCTACAGGCGCCCACATTTTTGTATTATCTACCGTTAACTAATGTACTATAGTTACTCAAAGTTATTTTCTTAACCAAAGTTAATGCGTTTAATATTTTATTTCACAAGAGAATTCTCAAATTATCGTATAAAGATATTTATTATTTAATACTCTTCTCAAACATGAGTAGTTTTATTAAATATTTAGAAGGATCTGTACCTTATATGATTTTGGTATGTAAAATATATTTTTTTATGTTTACATTTAATTATATGGTTCATTTATGATTATTATTATTAAATAATAATAATAAGAAGAAGAAGAATAAGAAAATGAAGGAGGTTTTAAAGTAGTTGTACATAATTATTATCATTCTGATAATAATGAGTGTACTTAAGTGAGCAACCACCAAAATTTGGTGATAAACTATGAATCCAAAAGTAATTATTGCTTCAACAAGAATGAAAATTGCACTAAAAAGAAACTTACAGTGTGGAATAAAGGATTCCCTCAAAGGGTAAAAAAATCATTTAAAAGTGTATGTTTTTGCAAGCACAAAATAAGAAATGAGTGTAAGACGTAATTTATGGGCAAAATCGATTTTCATGGTAATAACTTGTAGAGAAATATGCTTTACTCGTACTTAACTTCAAAGACACATGGTTTGTTGTAAGCTAATTTCACTTCAAAACATTGAACATACACAAACGCACTTAATAAACAATCATTCACAGCGTTGTTTATTAATCTGAAGAGAATTGTTCCACGTCCATGTGCATGGTTGAAGGCTTTTTGACCAGCTGAACTAAGGGTCAAGCGAAGGCAGTGAAAGACTCCAAATTCAAAGATCTCTTCTCTTTTTATCAATTACCAAATCCAACATGCATGCATTGCAGTGCTTTGCAGGGCAGGCACAGGCACATGAAAAGACCACCATGACCAACCAAGAGTAGTGGTTGAGAAGCTACCCTCTCCCTCTCTCAATCTCATTCTCTTTTGACCATGTCCCTTTGTCAGCCACAACATTTCTTTTAGGTCTATTTGTCGGTATCAGTTTTTCTCCTTTTCATCAACAATGAAGTTTTTGTGTTCAGCCAAAGCTTTTCTCACTTCTACCTTCCCACCCTCTTCCACACAATAATTTACCACAATTTTCATTATTTCATCTATAACACTAATAAAAAGTAAATACATTCAATTCTAAATAAAAAACAATATAGTTCTAACTACAACATGAATAATTATATAAAAACATAAATTCATATTTTTTCTAAAAGAATATTTTTTTAATATTACTTTATTTACTTAACTGATATAATAAAAATAATAGAAATAGAATGTTTTTGCATAATTAA